AAAGAAAGAAAGAAGAATGTAACAAAATTTTTTTTCTTCTGCGATCATAACCACAGACATATGTTTTTGTTTGATTTTAAATAAATAGAAAGTATTACGATGAATTAGAAGAATACTTAAACTAATAATTCAATTGAATGACATCAATTTCAACATTTTTCCACCAGACAAGTCAATGAGGTTTCCTTTGAATAAATGTTTATTAATCGACATATTAAGTCCTTGAAAGAAGGAAACGATTCGAGAGTTGGAACGATGAATGTCCTTTACTATTGAATTAGTTTATTAATCATTTTCTTTTTCTACAAATGCTTGATGTTTATTGTTCTTTAATATTTTTAGCGATGAAAATTTCGAAATACTATTAGAACTTGAAATATTATATAAATTGTGAATTTTTTAAATTTCTCGACATATATTGATCTCGAAGGTGATCATCTTCGCTAACAGATACACTTAAATTTTACTGATTCTTATTTATATATTTTTCTTGAGAATATAGACAGTCCAGATTACACGATACATATTTTCTCGTTTTCTTCTCATGCAAATCAAATAACTGGCTTAAATATAAATTATCGATATTTTGTTTACAACGAATCCATGTCAAATTTCGAAAACTATGATGTATACTAACGATTGATTGAACATGATCTGTATTATTTAATATTATAATAAAAAGCACATTACTTCGATTCTTTTGCTTGACCAATTCGATTGTGTTCAAATATACGTTATTATCATTTACTTTTAATCTTTAAAACTGTCTGTTTGATAAGTGTTACCGATTTGTAGATTGAATGATTTGGTTATTATGATTATTAATCACAATAAACCGAAAAATAATGTAAAAAAGTAATATTTTGAATTTTATATTCAGTGTCATCTTACCAGTATAATACATTCAAACACATTCAAATTATTTATATTTACATAGTAAAATATACTGTTTTACAGAATATCAAACTATAAATATTTTCATATAAAAATAGACTTTATTCGATTGAAGAAAACTGACACTATGAGCTGTAACCTATACATTAGTACATTTTTGCAAACTTCAAACATCATATACTTGGTAAAATTGTCGACAATTCTTTTCTACAATTTCTTTCTAAATTTTACTGTATAATGCAATTTAATATCAATACATCTGAATTTCTATAATCATAAATAACTTTTCTTATTTTTTACGATGTTCCATAACAAAACCGGCTAAAGGTTTGTTTTATTTCAAAACACAAAAAAAGAAAAAAAACAAACAATAACAGGAAAAGTTTAAAACAATGTTGTAATCACTGTTTTAACTGTTGAAATAATCTTGTAATGATTCACCTAATGTCGATTCCATATCGATGATAACGCGATGACATGTTTTTTCTACTTCATCATTTGGATCTTAAAATAAACGAAAAAAAAAATTCAATTTACTTTTATTTAAAAGTTAATTGGAAAAATGATCTTCTATACCTTCCATTAATTCTGCCATGAATGGTATGGCTTCTGGCAAAAGACCTTGATAATTCATTCCTAATTTTCTTGAAAGGTCTTGTACAACATGTAAGGTTGCTAGACGAACTTTCGATAAATCTGATCTTGTTTTTAATAATATTTGGTAATGTATTTGGCGCCATAATGCTTCTTCTTTTGTGGCAGATGTTAAGTTAACAATACATGGTGATACATACTGTTGTATCCATTGAGAGTAATTCTCATTCGATGTTAAATTTTCCATCTAAAAATATTAAAATATACACAAAACAAAAGAAATATTATCAAATATAGTTACCTGATCAACAATGGGCATCATAAGTAATTGAAAACGCTCATCGGTTATAAATCCTACACTATCAAATAAACATAAATTTGATATTGTACCTAATATTCCATTAATTAATTCAAATTGATTTTCTTCAACATGTTTTTTTCGAAAATTTATTTTAAATTCATTTGAACTTTCTCCAGATTTAGATGAATTTAATTGGTTCAGAATATTTGCTGAATGCTGAATAATATGACCAGCAAATAATGTAAATAAACCTTTTAATTTTTTAGAGAGTCTAGGAAATAGAACATAAAAAATAGGATATTTAATTTGTTTAAATCTAAATTTCTTACATATATGTTAAACGATAAAATGTTAATGTATATTCTGATGGTGGTTCATTATAAACTGCCCATTCATAAATTGTATAAAATAATGGACGAAATGTTTCTTCTGATAAACGCATAACTAATTCAGCAAAACAATCAAATACATAATCTTCGTAAATATTCATTTGATTTGGTGACATTTTTTTTATATGTGATGTTCGTAAAGTAAATAATTTAAGAAATAATTGTTTTAATAATGTATAATTATTACTTAAATCATCTAATGTTGCTATAGATAATGATTGTTTTAATAATGTCATTAATGGTTCAAGATCATTTAATTGAAATTCATTTTTATCAATAACATCATATAATATAGGAAATAATAAACGATGTGGAACATGTAATGCTATATGAGACCACATTGTTCGTAAACGTTGATCATTAAGTGCTGATGGATGTGTCAGTAATGTACATGTCTTGAAAAAACAAATTAAAATGAATTTTTTTCAAAACAATTATATTTGTCTTACTCGTTTGATAATAGATGGAAGATATGGAGTAAGATAATTGCATAGAGTTCGAACTAATTTTGATAGACATGCAATAACACTTGTAAGAAGTAATTCATTTCTAAAAGATTTAAAGATAATTTATCAATTAACACTGATTTTATCGGTATTTTTCATAAAGAAAAAGGGGAGGTACTTTTGTAATGGTTGAATGAGTGTAGAGGGTGCTGATGATATGATAGAAAAAAAATAGATTGCATTCTATTGAAACATCTGTAATATTCATAACACAAATAAAACATCAATATACTCCAATTCTCAACTGTATTATTTTTAATTTAGGTATACATAATTTTAATATCTTATTTTGTTCGTTAAAATCTAAATTAATATTTCTTTTTTTTGTTCAAATATATACCTAAGAATATTATCTGACTGATAAGTTTGTAGAACATGTGGCATAAATGATGGTAATTCGGCAATCGAATAAACTTTTAATGTAGCACATAATTCTGCTAAACATAAATAAATACTTGCACTTAAATTCGAATGTTGTCCACTATCAATAAGACGTAAATGTTGGCAAATAAATGTTAATGACTAAAAACAAAAAAGAACAATAACAGTTAGCAATATTTGCTTTCGAGTTAATCTTTTTTTCTACACATTGATATTTTCTTATCATACATTGAAAGAATTAAGTGAGTAACCTCTACCTATGATAATAATACTTTGTTTTTTATTTTATTTTATGTATCATGAGTAAAAATGACGTAATTTAACATATAAAATCAGACGTACACAGAGTTTATTAGTAAATTGATTTTCTTCGATAATAGTCAATCGGTATAGAGCGTATCTAATAATATTTAATAAGTTTCTTTTTTTAGAAAATCTATATTTTTTTATCACAGCAGGTAGGAAGAATGTGACGTTTTTACCTGATGAGTAAAGACTGGTTTCAGGGGGTGACAAATTTTTGACTCCCCCTGAACCATTACAATGTATGTTTTTTATCGATAAAAACGAAGGGGGTTAATTATCAATGTATATAATTTACAAAGATATGACACGTTATTTAGGGGGTGCCTTGCTACCTGTATGTGTATATATATACATGTGTATATGCTTTTAGACAGAAGATATTAAACATTATTATAAACAATCATAATGACATCGAAAGACACATCATCTTTACATTCTCAACATCGTAGCAAACGTCGAATGTTTCGAACAAAAACTTTTCGATTATTATCAATGCTTTCATTAACATTTGCATTTTTTATTATTGAACTTGTTGTTGGTAATATAACAAATTCAGTTGCACTTGTTGCTGATGCATTTCATATGTTATCTGATGTTATATCATTAGTTATTGCTGTGGTCGCTGTTAGAATCTCTCGACGTCAATCAAATGTAAATACATATGGTTGGGTACGTGCAGAAGTTGTTGGTGCAAATATTAATACAGTTTTTCTTCTTGCCCTTTGTTTAACTATTATATTCGATGCTATAAAACGTTTTTTTCAACCTGAATCCATTAAAAATGTTAATTTACTATTAATTGTTGGTTCAATTGGATTAGGAATTAATATTATTGGTCTTTTCTTATTTCAAGGATTTCATGGACATTCACATGGAGGAAGTTCACATGGACATTCGCATGGAAAAAGTTCACATGGACATTCACATAAAGAAAAATCTCACGGACATTCGCATGATGAAAAATCTCATGGACATTCACATAATCCTATTGAAAAACATTTCTCAGAAAATATCGATATAGAAAGTCTAGGTGAACATAATAAATTCGAAAGACATAGTACAAGAGCATTACAAGAGGTAAAAATTTTCAACCATATATTAGAAGAACATATAATTATATATATTTTTTTAATTTAAATATAGGCTATTGCTGAATGTGCACAACATAGTAATGAACAAATGGAAACAGTCATTGAAGTTGACGATGAAAAAGAGAGTAAACCAAAGAAACAGGCATCAATGAATATGCATGGAGTATTTTTACATGTATTAGCTGATGCACTTGGATCAGTAGTTGTTATAATTAGCGCTTTAGTAATTAAATTTGTTCCACATGATCCCGAAAGTACAAGACATTGGACAGTTTATATTGATCCAACTTTATCGATTATTATTGTTATCATAATAACAATCTCTACTATTCCACTTTTTAAAGATACATGTTATATCTTATTACAAACTATTCCTAAACATCTCGAAATTAATGAAATCAAATCTCAATTATTAAAAAATATTCCTGAAATTTATGGCATCCATGAATTACATGTATGGCGTTTAACAGATGAAAAAATTATTGCTAGTGCACATTTAAATCGATTAAATTTATCAAATTATATGTTAGTTGCTGATAAAGTTAAGAAATTCTTTCATTCAATTGGTATACATTCAGTTACAATACAATATGAATGTGATAATGATACTAAATTAAACTATCAACAAACAATGATAATAGAACAAACCAATTCAGATGACGATGAAAAGAAAATTGCTGGCGATTGTTTACTTCGATGTGAAAATGCTGAATGTGATACTCAAACATGTTGTACAAAAGTTTCAGATCGAACAAATATTTTAATAAATAATAATGGTACTACGCAAATATATTCAATTAATCAATTGAATTGTTTCGATAATCCTATATTTCCACAAGTATCAACTGATCCATCGTCTGGAGAAGAAAGACTTTAAATAAATAGTTAGATTTTCTCTCATACCATATTTGTTGTTTTTTTGTTGATTAAAAACATATGTACATAGAAATATTCTTCTATAGAACTCAAAGTTATACAAAATAAAGAACAAAATTATTATCACACGAAAATCTCAGCATTATTCTTTTGAATATATCGCAAATGGTCGAAATTACAGCTTGCAGATTTATAAATATGAATGTGACTACGATCACTTTTGTATAGATCGAAACGAGTATAAAAAAACATTATGAGCTTACTAGAAGAGATTACATCAATGTAAAATATCTTTCTATGTAGAACACACACCCACATCTCACCCTCAATAAATGAATTTTTAAATAAACTTACAGATGAAAATTCAGTTGGATGTTTTTCTCCCAAACGTTTAGCTAATAATTTAACTGTAAATAAAGCTGTTTGTGCTGTTTGTTCTTGTTCATTTGTTGAATTTTTACTAACAATTGATAATATATTATCCATATGAGGTAAAAATAATACAATCTAAATATTTATAATGTATAAAAAAAGAAATATATATATATTTTTTTGAAAATTTACTTCATTTTCTGGAGTAAATTCATCTTTTAATCGTATATTCAAAATTTCTAAAGTTTTTCTTTGTAGTTTTTCATTTGTTTGTTGTTGTTGAAGTAAATTTGATATGATATTAACAAACATTGAACCATGTAATAATGCAATACTTTTATTTAAACATTCATAGATTTTATTTAAAATTGATTTATTATATCGACTTATATCAATATCATCTTCGGATAATTTATTAGCCCATAATAAACAATGAAGAATTGTTTGAATTAATTCATTTAAATAATTTATTTCATTTTCTTGATGTAAACCAGTTTTAATCTATTGAAAATAAAATACGAAACTAAAATATTTGTATTTAAACAAAATATAATTTACCATTTTCATAAAGAAATCAGCTGAAAGAATATTATTAACAAATGCTAATAATTGATATTTAAGAACATGAATATGTTTTGTTGTATATGAACGTAAATCAATTAAATGCGAATATGTTGGTGGAGTTGATTGATTTTCTTTGAAAGAAAAATTAATAGAGAGAAAACAAATCAAGATTTTCTTTACTAGTTATTTGATCCGGAAGATTTAATACAGTATTTAATATACGTGTAAGACTAATAAGAATAGTTGCTGATGAAAATTGATTGAAACTACTTAACATTTGTTCACTACCATCGATTAATGATTTCTAAAGAAGAAGAAGAACAAGAATATTAGAAAATTATAATAATAGTTTTTATTTTACTTTTAATGTTTCTTCATTTTTTCTATTTATTGGTGATAAAAGAATAGAATCAAATAATTGAACTGGTGCAAACCAAAGACATTCATCTTGTCCAATTGATTCCATAAGCATACGAAATATATCTTGACGGCGATGTGCTGGTAAATGAGCTAAAGATGTTACGAAAACATGAGTAATTTTAGCAAGTATGGGTCGACGTTGTTCAATATTTTTTTCCTTAAAATACATTTATTTAAATAAAAAAAAGCAAAACATAAGAAAAATAAAACTAACTTTATATAACGATGGTATAACAGTTTTTATTGTTTTTTCCATAACTTGATAACTGTATAAATCATCTTTTCGTACAAGACGATCACCAACAAAAGCAAACATTGCCATTATCATACTGATTAGTTTTTCCTAAAAAAATTACATCCATGTTATAATTTGAGTTAATATTCTACATATCTTTTTGGAATTAAAGTTTTGATCTCGACAATACTCAATTATATCTAGAGGTATAAGTCAATCAGTTGAACAATTGTCAAGAGTTCTCATTGTAATATATAGCTTTCATTTACTACCAATCGACATAGTCTAACTAGTATGTACTCCGTGTTGCTATATTTCAATGATCTAATCGCACGGTTACTATAAGCACAAGTAACGCTCGTCCGAGAACTCGCTTAACTCTTTCTCGTAGAAATGCATCCTCTTCACATTTACTGGAAAATAGGTTTTCGATGTTTTTTTGACCCTGCGGACATACAAGCAATCAGACAATTTATGTCTACTGGACACTTCTTTACGAGAAAGAGAATAAAAAATCAGTAGTAATTTTACTCAATATAATATTCTAGTAAACTGAATTGATTATCTTTAAAATATCAGTGATGAATTCTAAATAAGAGAATCATTGCTATGCACAACTGTCAACTAAATCCTGAATTATGTATAGCAATTATCATTTCAATTGCAAAACGAAATTTATTTAATCTAATTCTTACAGGAAATAATTGTGCGCCTTTTGATAAAAGCATAAGACATTGTTGTGTTGTATGTAAATCATTTGTACGTTTCATACATTCCATAACTATTTCACTATTAAAAATATCCGGATTACATTCAGCTAAAATAAAAATATTTCGATAAAATAAAATTTTGCTTTGTTATTTTTAATTAAACCTGGTTTTAATTGTGTATAAAGATTAAGTAAAGCTGTTGTACATAATTGATCAATATATGTTTTTTGTTCAAAATCAATTGTTTGATTTAAAGATTTTTCAAGTATAAGAAATAGAGGACGAATTAATTCATGTCGATGATTAATTAATAATTGATCATTATGTAGAAGTTCTAATGATGGTAATAAATTTTTCCAATTTATTGTTGTATTTACTGCAGTAGTTTGTTCAGTTGGTTTTGAAATAATTAATTTTTTATTTGATAAACGATTTTGTTGAGAATCAGTATTTGTTTGTTGACTGGCAGGTTCAAGAATAGTTTTCCAATAAGTTAAGAAATGTTTTGCATCGAATGCAAACTAGAAAATATGAATAAGATCATTTCAATGAAAAGAAATTATATAAAACAAACTTTAGAAAGTGTTGTTTTAATGGTTGTTGTTAATTGTGAAGATTTCGAACGTTGCCATAATGAAAAACATTCACTAACTAATTGAAATTGTTTATCAAAATCTGATGAAAGTGCTGCAAACATTTCCGGTGTCAACTAAATAATATGAAATAAGATACATAATTGTAAATGAGAGTGAATATCTGTTGTTCATTCTAACTCCTCGTGTAAAAGTTATGAGCACGATTGGTTTGTAAATAGTTCCAAAGTAAACAAATAAGGGATTACATTAAAAATACTCATATCTCTTGTCAAACAAGATAGATAGAAGCAATACTCTATAGTTCTAAAGTTTGATCAGTCGAAATTTTATCATGTCACGTATACTTTTGTACAGTTAAAATGTATTACATGCTATCAGAAACGAGATGCAATCATGATTTTCGGTTAATTTGATTGTTGTCTCTAAGAATGATTTTATGTGATTGACTAGCACATATGAAATAAAGATGATTAAAACTATAGACTTCTCAAGATATTCTATTAGCATAAATTGTCTGTTTATGACAATAAACTCAAGGTGAAAACTTAATTTTTCCACTTTTGATGTTTTTTTCGTATTTTCCATGATCATTCTATTCATATAGAAGTTGCTACTGTAAAAAGTAATAGCTATTAACAAATAAAAATAATTATATATCGTATGTATATAACTGTCACTCAACACATTTGAGTTTTTTATTTCTTTGATAAGCATTGAGTACAGATTTTACAACTCTATAATAAACGTACTCACAATAGCTAATATCCATCGATAGTAATTTATTTGATTATTCTACTACTCTTAGCTATAAAGAGAACGAAAGCAGTGCCTAGATATGCCTTATTACTACGACGATATAATAGATAAGAATTCACATGAATAATCTATTATCAAGTAGAAATCCTTCGAAGAATAACAATCTAGACTAGGACAATTATCAGTCAATTTACAGCATAGATTTATCCTAAACTTAACAGTAGAGTACTGTGGATACAGTTATCGATTTAAAAATCTTCGAAAAAAAGAAGCAATCTTATAAATTACTTGTTTTAATGTTAATATCATAATATCAATTGTTGTTATTGCTTTCGATTTTTTAATAGAACGTGATAATATTTGTAAAATAATTTCAAAACAAAACGATTGTTCATGTATTAATGTTTCATGATCAATATGTTGAATAATATTTTCAATAAATATTTTATTCTCTTGAATAGCTAAATTTTGTTCTGATTGTTGAAGAAGATTTTCAAAATCAGTTCTATATTCATTAAGTATTGACCAATGTTTACATTGTTTTAATAAATAAAGTAAATGAATATTTAATTGTAATTGAATTTTTTTATTTAATTCTTCATTTTGATCAATTGTAGTTTTAAATAAATGTATCAATGATGAATTATCTAAATTTAATTTACGTTTTTTCTTTTCATTTAATTTTATTGTTTGAATTAATTGAGATATTAAATAACAAACATATTCGGAATCAGTTGTTATTTCATTTTCATGATGTTTGACAGTTTGAATAAATAAATCAAAATCATTTGTTGTACATTTAAGTTTTGTTTGAAATAATTTTATGATTGTCGAACGAATTGGTCGATATGTTGAATGAAGAAAAAAACTAAATATTAAAATTGAAAGATTTGTATATTCAGTTGTTGATGTTTGTTTTAATAGATATTTTAATATGACTTCTTGTTCACGAAATTTATCAGTAAAATTAAGATAATTTTCAGCAAGAAATTGAATTAATTTATTTGCTAATGGAAATTGTTGATTGAATAGAAGATGAAGAAAAGGTATTTTCTCTTCTGAACATAACCATTGAATACATTCAGAAAGAAAATCATTCCAGAATGTCGATTGATTAGAATCTAACGAGAAGAAATGTAAATATCGAAAGAGAAATCAAGTCATCTTACCTTTCGGTAAAGCATCAATAAATGCTTTCCAGAGCATAGTATAGCTTGTTGATGTGAATGGATGTTTTTTAATGACATGTGATTCAATTAATGATTTGTTATCAGTTATATCTGATGGTTCATCATTTGTTGGTGAAATCTATTTAACAAAAAATGATGTAAAATACCAATGGAATTTATACTAAAACGATCTCACTCACTAACGTTTAAAAGAAATCTGCAAAGTATTTATCTATGATTGAATGTGGTCAGTCACTGTAATTCTAGGGCAAAACAGCGGACTTTAAGACTCCAGGACTTCAACAATAGAGACTTCAGTTTTTCGGAAGACTTCAAAAGATTTCAGACGACTCCGATAGACTTCTAAAGGCCGCAAGAGACTTCAATGGACTTCACAGATTTTAAGAGACTTCCAAAACTTCAATAGACTTCTAAGATTTCAAAAGACTTCATGAGACTTCATGGATGAAGTCTCTGGTGTTTACCTCTTGCTGTAATTTCAATGATCAGGACTTTAGTAGTCTTAGATTTTCCTAAATTCGATGTCATAAATATTAATCTTTATTAGACAATCATATTGGTCATTATAATCGTTATAACATAGGATGTATGAGTCAGTAAGGTTCTAATATTTAGAATTAACGTACTGATCTCGAAATAGTCATGTATTTCTATAAAAATTCAATTAACTTCTTAGACAAATTTCCTCATTCGTATTTGCACTTAACTGTCACGTCATTTGCTTATTAATAAAACTTAGTGGATCAGAAATTTCCTAGTTTAAGTTTGAATTACACTTTTAATACTTGCTAAGAAAACGAAGCGACCAGTTAAATATGAATACATTCTAATCCTATGGATTCATCTTCATGAAAGATTTGATGAATCTATATCAGCAATTATTCCGTATTCACTCGATTTAAAAGAGTTCCAAATAATCAATTAGATCTATAGCATTCATTTTTCTTAACTTACTTCTTTGGATAGCTTTTTTAAGAGTTTAAAAATCATAATAATAGCTAATTCAACATATTCATTATTATTTTGTTGTTTAACAGTTTCAATTCCTAATAATATATAAATAATAGAAAATTTTATCCAATTTGGTCTATGATGTTCAACAAGACGTAAAATTTCATCATGTTGTTGTAATAAGGGTAGTAAGACATTTTTTTGATCATCATTAGTTGTTATTGATTGAATAAATGTATCAAGAGTTGAAGATAATGTCTTGATTGTAGTTGATTTAAAGACTTTTTTTGTTAATTTCAATAAAGATGACAATGATTGTTTATGTTGTTTCGAATTGTCTAAAAGATGATTTAATAAACTAAGTTCCGATGATGTTGTTGGAAAAAGAAGATGAAGATATTTATTTTCACTTATTGAATCATGTGATAATAAACGAACAATTGATTGTTGAACAGGTGACCTAAAATATACAAACAATTTATTTTATCTAATTATTAATCTAACTTACCAATCTTCATTTTCACGTTGAAGAATCTTTTGTAGAATATCATTTATTTGTTGATTATCAATTAAATGTAATTCTTCTAAAAGATAAATCGCTTCCTGAGCAACTTTAACATCATTATCATTTAAACGTGATTGTAAAACATCCAATAAAAACTCATGTTCAATATTCTTAAATGAAAGCATTTTCTAATAAAATAAAATTTTATCCGAAAAAAATACTTGTTTAGATTTAATTCCTTCACGAATTCGTTGTAAAGCTTCAATTCGTAATTGTGCTTGTGGATGATTTAGACAAATTGCAAGTGAACCACGATCAGATAAAGGCTAAAAAGCATTTTAAATTACACAAAATATCTACGCATTTTTGATTTACTTGATGTTTAAATCCAATAGCTGTCATTGATGCGAATTCTCTAATATGTTTTCGTTCTTCATTATTCGAACAATTTTCAGTTTGTTGACGAATATTATCATCAAAATCAATTGGATATCTTTACACGAAAAAATAAAAATAAATAATATAAATATTGTTTTTTTCTTGTCTTACTTTCGTTCAATAATTGATGCTAATGAAACTATGTAAGTATTGTTATTATTATTAAATTGTTTAATAAAACAATTGATAATAAACTTCAGTATATTTGAATTAAATTTAATTGTATTTAATGTTTTTTCAATTAAATTCGAAAAATCATGTTCATTATCTGTTTCCATTTGATTATTATCTTTAATAACATGATTAAGTAATTGTTCAAACCATCCACATAGAAAATTATCTATTCGTACATCATTTGTTAATTGAAATATTTCATCAACTATATTCGACATTTGACATAATTTAAGAAAACATCTTTTAAAAACAATAGAGAAAATTTAATTTTTCGAAAATTTCAAAAAACTAACCGATCTGGTAATGATGGATGATGTTGATTATTAAGAAATACTGATGTAATTAGAAGATTTTCTTGAATAATATCATCCGAAAAGCCCTAAGTAAATAAATCCGTTCATTACAGAAATTAAGAATATAAATTTTATCGGATCTGTCTTGGAATCCGGAAAGTTTCTGATATCGTTCTAACAGAAGAGAATGATAATATTCTTTCACAAATGTTTATGGTTATGTACGTCAATCACGATTATCGTCTACCGAGTGCCATTCTGTGCTCTGCACTTCTATGAGCAAATATACACAGACGTACACCTTGAGAGTGTGGGTGTTGTGTCCATGCTTTATCCACACCCACACCTTCTAGCTAAAATCAATACTCTTGGCAATAGGAATGTGACAGTTTTAGTCTGAAAGAACTGAACCTGAGCTTTCACAGCCCTATTTGCTAAGCATTTCGAGGGCGATGGGATCGCTTGCAATGAATATCTAGTGGGACTTTCTTTATTGGTGACCAAGGGGGAACAAACTGATTTCTTGATTTCTAATTTCATTTTCGTGATTTCCCATGATTTCTTGTGAGTTCTAGTATGGAAATCAATTGGGATATGTGTGGATATGCGTGTGGGCGAGTGTGGGTGTGACCGGGTGGGGGTGTCCGTGTCCCTGTAGACACTGTATTCACATGACACCCACACCCATCCCACTCTACACCCACTCACACTTACATCCACACCCACACTCTTTTGATTTCTCATGATTTCTTATGATTTCTACTTGATTTCTAGTATGGAAATCAGTTTGTTCCCCCTAGTTGGTGACTAATAAAAAGTGAACTACATCACTTCTCTTCAAATCAAATGATTTCTCTTCTTTCTTGTACATGCTCCTTTGTTAAATAAACCCTTGAATCTTTTTTCCGAATTTTGGGACAATACCATATTATCGAACTTACTTTTGAAAGTACGTTAAGTATTTCATCTTTAATATTTGTTTGAAATGTAAATATATTTGATAAATGTGAAAGAACTAAATAGGTTGCTCGTTTATAATCAGTAGATTTCGATTTTAAACCTTTAAGTAAAAAAGGCATTAAATGAGCAATAAAATTTTCTTCATTGGAATTTTTCTTCTTCTTCTTGTTTTTCTTATGTGATAATGAATGTAATATTGTTGAACATAATGTTTTAAGATAAAAATTTATAATAACACGTAATGATGAATGATTTGAACCAAATTCCTAAATTTAAAATATAAATAAATAAGAAAATATTTCATTTATTTTTTCGTACTTTAACTGCCATTGCAGTAGATTCACAAATAAAATTTAAAAATCCTAAATCAGTTGCACAACGATTAGCCATTACAAGACCAGGAATTGTTGTTCCAGCTTTCTAAAAAAAGAATAAATTTATTTATCATTTAATATTTAAAACAATAAATACTTGAGCTGATTCAAGCCAACCCCAATTATTATTTTTCTCATTCAAACGAAACATTTGTATAGCACGTGTGAAATAATTATGTTCATGATATGGTAATACACATCGAATAAGATCATCAACATTGTAAAAATGGATGAAAAATCTTGAAAAATATAAAATATTTATTATTAAATAATTCAATAGGAAAAATATATTTACCGATGTACAAGCCATTCAAGTGCTTTATGAGCTGGACTTAAGAGAAAATATGGTGAAAGACGAATAAGAAATCGTCGAATAGTTAAATTTAATGAATCATTAACTTCTTTTGTTTGAATACTACGTTCAAATGTTAAACTTGTATCACTGAAAAGTACACGTTCAAATTCTTCAAAACCGGAATCAAGTAAACAAAGTTCTTCGAAACCATTTGTACCTTTACAAAAAAAAACAAATAGGAAAATTATATAATTTTTTTTCTATTACCAAGACAGTAAATAGTTTCACGATCAAGTGTTGACGCTACTTTTGGATCATAAAGAAACGATGATTTTTTACGATTTTCACTATCAGTTAATTGCCATTGTGTATGAGGATCAGAAAGTTTATTTAATTGTAGTTTTAATGAAGTCATGATTGAAATCAAACGAAAAGAATGATAATTATGAATAGATTCGCGAGGGCAAATTCAATAGAATCAAAGATTTTCATTCGTGGAAGGTTATTTCGAATTAACTTTGGTACATTGCGCCTCCTAATCGAGTTTTATAGATCAATGTGTAACGCCATCTACATATTATGTTTAAAAATAAAAAATGTAAGGATAGAATTGAAAATTATTCCTAAACAAAGTTTTGATCGTTATGAATATAAAAACATTTGATTTTATTTATTAAAATATATTCGATATATCGTTTTTTCATGCATTAGAATTGTTGAACAACGGTGGCTGCCACCTTCTGGTGATTCCTTTTATCTCAACAAAAAGATGTTATATTATCTCGAATATGCTTCAAAACATGATCTTTCACCATGACTGCCGCTTCCTCTAATAAACCGCTAACTCCCTCACTGATTTTCTGGATCCGCCACTTTTGTTGACAACAATGTTATCTGTAATTTTATACTAAATTAGAATAAATCATACACCGTATATCCTATCTAAAATTCTCTCTTAATGTATCCGCCTACATCTACATGTTGCCTATCATTTTCATTAGTTATTCTACATGTATTTACTGATATAAATTTAGCACAAGATCAAATTCATTTTGACATATATTTTCATTCTATTAGATAATACTAGAAATGAGAATTTTATTTGTTAATATTTCAATATAATTCGCCATAATTGATAAGTTATACAGTACATTCTACTTCCCCTAAATGAAAAACATGATGTTCTCTATTGTTGATGAAAAACGCAATGTTAATCACGAGAATGTAAAATTTTTTATCTGAGAATCTTTCATTTAAAAATAAAGAGATTAAAATATTAACACTTAATATAGAATACATTCTTAATTTTAAATGAAAAAGTAAATCCCTACAAATTCTATTACTATGATTAATTGTTATAAATAATCACATGTATATATATATAACTTAATGAAAGACAAAAATATTGAACTAAACATATTAGAAGTAAAGTCATGTGTGTGTGGGTAAGACATGAAACATCAAGTCATCCGTACTACACTCTTTAATAATCAAATTTTTAATTGATGAGTAGATTAAAAAAAATTATGATCAAAAGTAAAAAGGATAAAAAAAGACATTCTTGACTAAAAGAGCAATTTATAATTTGCAATTATATACATAACTTATTTTTTAAGTATTAACAAAAAGTAGTATAGTTGAGTGCTTTCATTTTTACTTTAATATTTAAGAGAAAATAAAATAGATGACTAAATTTTTCATTGTTTAATAAATAAATAAATATTAGATAAATAATTTATACGAGTTTTGTTATTCTTCTTATATATGTGAGTCGGAAATATGAACCGGAACTCACACGATGATCACTGTTAACCTCGATAAATAAAAAGGAAACAACTAGTCAAGAATATGTTCCCATACATGTCGAGATCGGTCTCTAATCAAACTATCAAATTCGCATAACAACAACGATGTTTATATCTAGTTATATATTAGAATCCATTACTTTTTCTTATTATCTCTATCGATAAGAAATAACACATAGTTTAATTAGATCTTCATGCATGTCGATCATCTATTTAATTTAATTTTAAACTAAAACAACATATTTTCTTGATGATATGATACACGATGAACTCATAATAAAATCCATTCATACTTCTTAAATATTGTATCATCTTTTAAGTACTATAGTTAGTATATACTTTACTATTGACAAAATTTTCTAGTCTATTATTTACTTTGTAGTTATATATTTATATAAATACTGGTTAACACTCAAGATTTCTTATAGCAAAAAGGCGAAAAAGAAAAGAAACTTAGATGTAGTTACAATATAATTATAATAATTAATTGAAGATATAATGATCTGTCAGTTTTCTTTTTCTTCTCTTTCTTGAATATGTCAAGTAAAAGAAAAAGAATAAGAGATGGATGTCAAAAAGTGATAAATTCTCTCAAACGTTCTTAACACGATATATATGAGCACTTATTTATTCATTTACCGAATGCAATAATCATTTATTTTAAAGTTACGGTAAGTTTTGATTGTCTTATATGAATATATTTAACGTTCAAACATACACCTACACACATATTCATTATTATATCAATATGTTTACGAAGGTTTGAAAAGAAAGTAATGTCTAGTTTCCTTTAGCTTACAAAAATTCTTTTTCTTTTTTTGTTCTATTGTTGTTAACGCTCGATGTGTAAGAGTACATGCTTATATGAGCATATGAAGATTCAAAAAGGCACTTGCAGCTTAACGCTATAAAAATAGTGTCGTTATTTGATTCGTCTTCATATCTATACATTGTAAAATTATAGAGGGGGAAAAAGAAAAAAAAAATAATAGTGTAGAAAAAAAACCTAAGAACAGCTTTGCTTTTGATAATATATCATTTGATAGATAGTACTATATATATATATCTAGTTGGCTAAAGTTTTTTTGTTTTTTCAAATTAAACTTATAGAAAAAGACATGATTGCACGTCTTATTGGCTTTACGGCATTAACTATTGTTACAATTCTTGGTAATATAATTATTATAATTGCTATATGTGTTGAACCACGACTAAAAAGTGTATGTATATTTTTTTCTTTTGTTGGTATCTAAAGAAATAATTTCTTTTTGAATATTTAAGGTTAGCAATTATTTAATAATTAATTTAGCTGTAGCAGATTTTTTTGTTGGAACAACTGTTATACCATTTATATCACTTTGGGAAGTATATGGTGAATGGCAATTTGGTGTACGTTTATGTAATATATGGTTATGTTGTACATTATTATTCTGTACGGTTTCCTTTTTAACGATGTCTGCTATTGCATTAGATCGTTATTTATATTTAATTGAATCGAAAATGGATAGAAAACGACGTACAGTACGACGGGCTTTTTCATTAATTATATTAACATGGTTAATACCAGCTATGGTTTGGTTACCAGGTATTCATCTTGAATAACAATAATAAAAAAATATTTTCTTTTTAAAATCTTAGGTGTTTTTGTACATAGTTATTTAACTGGATATTCACCACTTGTTCTACCGGAAAAAGGATGTTATTTACAAGCTCGTGCTGTTTATGTTTTAGTAGCAACAATATTACTTTTCTTTTTACCAATGATTGGTATGATTGTTTTATATATAAAAATTTTTCGTGTTTTACATGGTCAAATGAGTAAATTATTAGTTTGGTTAACTGAAGTTAAACTTAATAATGGACGACGTACATCACAAACAACTGTGTTTGATCCATTAACAGGTACCTGTAATGATACAGGAGGCGGCGGAGGAGGAGGAGGAGGAGGACGTGGACCCACATCCATTGCAAGTAGTACATCAAATTTTCATCAACAATCAATTCGTTGTCCAGCACTTGGAAATATAAATAATGGTAATTATATTCATCAACATCATCTTCATCATACACGTAAAACAAATAACTATTCAAATATTCGTACAGTCAAAAGTCTTCCACCAGTCGACACAAATAAATATCGTTTAACACCATCACCAACATTATCACCACCATCACAACAACGACAACAACAACAACAAGCAACTGTACCGACAAATCCAACTGTATCATTAGACACAAAACAAAAATTTCGTCGTGCTGTTCATGCGATTGTATGGGTTGGACGTACACGAGATATTGCCGGAACAAATAAAGGTTCATTTAAAGAATATCGTGAAAGTTCTCAAGCACGTACAAATAAAAAACTTTTCTATACATCTGACTGGTCAGCATCAACAGCCACAAGTAATAATCCATTACGTCGTACACGTAATTTAACATATAAACGTGCTATATCGACAACGGATTCATTATTACAAAGACAAATGAGTCTTGCACGTCGACAACAACAACAAAAAATGCGTTTAGCTAAGCAACGTCGTGTAGCACGTACACTTGGAGTTCTTATATTTGTTTTTCTTGTTTCGTGGTTACCATTTACTATTCTTTGGCCTGTACAACGTTTTTTTGGTATTAAATATGTTTCAAATAGTTTATTAAGAAAAACTTTATGGTTAACATATGCAAATACATTTATTAATCCATTTCTTTATTTTTTTTCAAATAATGATTTTCGCTATGCATTAAGACGTATATTAAAATGTTGTTTTAGACAAAACACTAGTAGTACAAATATACAAATAAAATAAACTATATTGTCATTTGTTGTGCATATATTTTTTTATCATTATTTTCTGTTAATTTTAATGATTCATGAACAAATTTCTTTTTTCCATCAGTATAATCTGCTACAACATCACCATGACCTTCAACAATCCATTTTGTTGTTAATAAACCTTCAATACCAACAGGACCACGAGCATGTATACGTCCTGTACTAATACCAACTTCAGCACCTATTTGAAAAGAAAAATATTTTGTTTTATTTATTCTAAACATATTCTTACCTAAACCAAATCGATAGCCATCAGAAAAACGTGTACTAACATTATGAAAAACACATGCACTATCAACATTATTAAGAAAATCTTCAGCAATTTTTTCTAAAAATTCCCAGAAAAAAAAATTGTTTTTTTATTTTGTAATTGACGTACGATTTTCTGTAACAATTGAATCTGTATGATTTGAACTAAATTTATTAATATGATCGATAGCATCTTTAACATCATCAACAACTTCAATAGAACATTGTAAATCACCATATTCAACATTTAATGATGTTGCAGATGGTGGTGGAAATGGAATCATAATCGCTAGACGTGGACCCGAATAGACTTTAACCTAAATCAAATATTTTAATTATTCTTTTCCGTCATAAACAAAAACTTTCATTAGTATTATTAATATCTGTTTTAAGCAGATTTTTCAAAAGTAAATCCTTCCTTTAAGTTCATTATCAACAAATGAAATGTATATTTTCTTTTCTTATCAAAAGCCGAAGGAAACAGAATCAAAAAGCCTTTTCCTATTTTTAATATTTGTCCTGAAAAAAAAAGTCTTAATCTTAATCTCCTTTCAAGATAATTAACTAGAGAAATAGAAAAAAAGATTTTTTTCCCCTTTACAACCTTTTCAAGACGTAATAAATCAATTAATAATTCAAAAAATGATGTTCGAACAAGATCTTTATGTATAAGTAATGTTTCCATTGCATTACAAGCACTTGGATAATCACATTTTGAATCTCGAACTAAGAAAAATAAATTCTTTTTTTTATTTGATCAAATTTTTATCTTACTTATACGTAACGCCATATCTAAATCAGCGTCTTTATCAATATATACATGACAAATACCTTCTGCATGACCTAATACTGGAATTTGTAAACTTTGCTTTTGTATTGAACGAACAAGTTCATTTGAACCACGTGGAATAACAAGATCAATATATTTTCCTAATTGAAGAAGATCAGATACTTGTTCACGTGTATTAATCTTCAATCAAAGAGGGAAAAAGACACAACTATTATTAAAATAATTTCTTATATGTTTACTAAAGCAATTGTTTCACGTGGAACATAAGGTTCAATGGCATCTTGCATTAATTTTGTTAAGATTTCATTAGAATATTTTGCTTCAGAACCACCTTTCAATAAAAGACCATTACCAGAACATATTGATAGAGCAGCTATTTGTGGTAAACTATCTGGACGGGATTCAAATATAACAAGAAGAACACCGATAGGTGTAGTTATTTGTTTTAATATTAAACCATCTGCAAGACGTGTTCGACGAACAACTTGTCCTATAGAATATAAATACAAAGATATTAACTTAAAAAATTATCATATTAAATTAACCAAGTATATCAGATTTTGCAGCTATTTGTTGAAGGCCATCTGATAATGTTAGTAATTTCTTTTCTGTTAAACCAAGACGAGAAACTAAAGATGATTTAAGACCTAAACGAAAAAAATGAATTGAAAATGTACATTTATATCCAACCAGCTTTTTTTGCTTGTTCTAAATCGAGTTTATTAGCTTGAAGAATATCTTTTGAATATTCAATTAAATTTGATGCCATTTTATTAATTATTGATTTACGTTGATCACTTGATAATTTTTGTAAAAATCGACTACCATCTCGAGCTATCATAGAATTGATATTTTTAATAGAATGAAAAATTTCTCTCATACCTTTTACAGCTTGAACATCAACTGATAATGATTGATTAGGTATATTTGTAAAAAATGTTCCTATTTGTTTTCCATCCATTATATTTAAAATACCTTTATCGATTTTTCCATTACTTATAATAACTCCAACATTATGATCAAGTGCCCATGATGCGCATTTAACCTGAAAACAAGTTTAAAATAAATTTCTTATAAACAAAAATCTTTACTTTTGATTCCATTCCACCAGTTCCAACTTTTGATCGTGCACCAAATGCAATTAATTCGGAATCTTGTTTCGGACAAAATGTATGTAATAATCTTGAACCTTCTAAATCTGGTGGTCCTGTATATAAACCATTAACATCACTCATAATTAATAATAAATCTGCTGATATTAAAACAGCTAAACGTGCAGCTAATGAATCATTATCATTAATAACAATACCATCTTTTGCTGCTGTTACTTCCGCATCTGTATCTGTAAATGGTGCAACAGCATCATTTGTATTTAAAATCGGTATAATATTTAAATTAAGTAATTCATCAAGTGTCGCTTGTAAATTCTTTCGACTATTCGGATGATAAAAATCACCTTTTGTAACAAGAACTTGTGCAACACCAATATTATATTGTTGAAACATACGTTCATAAAATGACATAAGACCTTTTTGACCAAACGCTGCACATGCTTGTCTTTGAATAGCATATCGACTATTCTGTAAAATATCTTTTGGTGAAAGTGATTTTCTCATTGTCATTGTCATCATTTTTTCTTGATGTAAAACTTGTCGACCAAATGCAACAGCTCCACTTGTAACTAATAACGTTTGTCGACCTTCATTTTGTAATTGTGAAACTTGTTCAACTATTGATGCTAAACGTCCTATTGCTAGACCATCTTCATTTTCACGTGTTATTAATGCTGTACCAAGTTTAACGATAATACGACGTGCATCTTTTACATCATTACGAGATGAAATTAATGATTTTTTTGAATTTATTATTCCATTTTTATGAGCTACTATAAAAATATATTAAATATTTAATACATAACAAACAAAAAACAAAATACTAATTTACATGATGTTTGATTACGTTTTAAAAATGTATTCAAAGGTTTTATTCGATTTAATGATGAATATCCATAACGAAATAACATCGACATATTTCAATTTTCTAGATATCTTTATATAAGAATAGATATATATTTTACATCGATTTTTATTTGCTAAACTTCACTTGTCTTATCATGAACACTAAATAGTTTATGTTTGTTTAATGATGTAATCATCTTTGATATAAAACATGCATTGAAAGTATGAATATTCGCATGGGAAGTTTAACTGGACAAGTACTATATCAGATAAGAGAGAAAAAGAAATTTAAACGAAGATCACGAGGTACATTTCATATCAATTTTTCTCTGTGATGTATAACTTGAGATATTCTTTTTTTCGTTATTATCACTTTCAGGTGAAAGTGAGTTCGAAAAGTATTTTCACATAGAGTACAATGATTGATATTCAATCGATATTTTCAAAAAAATAGATAATAACAATTCAATTAGTGTCGTTCCGTACGCATAGAATAGATATTCGTTTGTTCTTTATATTACTACGATGAAAAGCAATGTCGTTGTCAACGTGTGATAATTATACATAGATATAAATTCTCTTTATCTTTGTATCATCTTAATTCAATATATCTAAAAATTTGATTTGTTGTTAAGTGACATATCGAATCTACACCTTTACAAGGTCGTTCTCTCTAATTACAATCCATATAGATTATACTTTCTTTTTCGACCTAATCATTTACAAATATTTCTCTTTAGTTCTATTAAATACAGATTTGTTGTTCTTAATCGAGTGCATATAACAAATAATCAACTGGGATAGTTTGTTTTGAAAAGTATCTGCGATTGTATAATATCCATTATACTGACATTTAGTAATTGCCCTTGACATTATTTCAATGATTTTTCTATCATGCATAACCATCTTTAGCTCAGCATGTTTCTCGTTATTTTTTATCTGATTCTAGTTTTCCTTTTATATATATATATCTCGCTTTATTTATACAGCCGTCAATTAGCATTAAATGACAATATTTTCAAATAAAGAAAAATAAAATAAATTCGTTCGGAATTCCTTTTATAGCGGAAAACACTTAAATTATTCAAATATTAAAAAAAATACACAAACACATTTCAAATATATATATGTATATGTTTAGTCATGAATGAGAATTAAAAAAACAAACCAAAAGTGACATATTTTTTGTTTTATTGACGTTTTTAGGAAATGGGGAAAGCATAGATCATCTAGATTAAACATACGAAAAAGAAAAAAAAACAAAAACAGTAAAAAGAGACATGTGTGATGACCAGAGACAGAATAAAAGTTTCAAGATTTGTAGGAAGAAATGTAGAGAAGAATGTTCATTAAAGAGTAGTGAAACATAAAACAAACAAAAAAAAACTTATTGAATAATAATAATAAATAGTTTTGAATTTTTTAAAATAGATTATCCCATTCTTACATATCTTGTTGCTTCTACAATTTCTGGTTATAACTGGCACCAAAGGAAGTTTGCATATATATGTATGATGATGATGATGATGATGATGTAGAAGCTTCCTGAGAGCCTAATTTAGATTAATAAATACATATGTATATATAGAATACGAGTATCACAGACAAAATAATTTTCTTTCTTTTCTTTATACATCAGTATCTTTAGCTGATTTATTTGATTCTTGAATATTTTCAGCTTTATCATTATTCGATTGTTGATAAATTGTTCGACGTGCAAATGGTGGTAGAGGAGGTGGTGGAATGCGAGATATTCGTGGTCGATTATTATTATTCGTTGATGTATTACCATTTTGTAAACTTGTATTTATTGCTTGTGTACTCGTATCAATAGCATTATTATTATCATTAGGTTTTTGATTTTGACCTTGAGAAGTTGAATAAAGACGATTTGATGTTTTAAAACGTATCCATAATTGATTAATTATTTCTGTTACAACAAGATCACTACTATTTACAGAAAGTAAACGTGTAACAAAAACTCCGTCATCTTTTAAGTAATGCAAAACAAAATCACGCGCTAATTGTCGTTCTTCTTGAGGATTAAATGATGACATTATACCAAGATGACGTCGAATAAAATGTATTTTTTCACCTTAATTAAAAAAAGAAGATTATATATTCTCATTATACAAACAGTTTAAAATAAAATCTACGCAGATATATATTCAGTAGAAAAGGATGTCATCTTAATAAACAAATATTTATTCGTTCCCATTTGTATTAAACAATTTGCATTTATTGTTTTATCATCAATAAATCTCTTGAGACAACATTCTTCAAAAAAAAAAGAAATCTGACAACTTACGTGGAACAGTACAATGATATAGCCAAAGAAGAAAATCATAAATTGTTGCTAAATAGAATAAATTAATTTTTAGCAAAACAAAAAGAAAATAAATTCTTACCAACACTAACAGATATAAGCCAAAACCATTGAATAATAAAAATGACTTCATTAAATAAATTTATTCTTAATACACATTGTACTGTATAAAAATGATTAATACCAATTTCTCGAATTTTAAAATCACTAAGAGAAAAAAAAGAAGTAAAATTTCTTCTCGTAATATTATTCAATTTTACCAATAAGTCACTTTAGGAAAATGTTTATTTTCAGTCCAACGTTGATTTTTTAGCAATTTTTCAATAACTTCAAAACCAAATAAATAGTAATCATTTCCTAAAAAGGCATTTAATAAAAATAATTGTGCTAATCCATTAACAAGCCACATTAATTTGACAAGAAAATACACAATAACAAGATAATTTCCATAATGACGATTTGAACAAAAGCAAAACAATTGAAAAAATCGACGAATACATGAAACACGTTTTTCAATATGTCTTCGAGTTAATTGAGCACGTGCTGATATATAACGTTCAATATTGATAAGTAAATAACTCATTATACGTTCTCGAGATTCATACTGTTCAACTTGTTCGTATTTCTAAAAACGAAAAAAAAAGGATAAAATATTCTATCGATTTCTATATCAATATAACATACTATTGCTGCATCAACGAGATTTACTAAATCAAGACCTGATTTAACGTTTAATGTACGCCAAACAATACGGGGAAAATAGAATAAAAATGCTTGAAATAATAAGATAAATGGTACCCATTGATAGTAGAGCTAGAGAACAAAAAAAAAGGAATAATTTATTACAACAATATAAATCTCATAAAATATTTACAATGTCTTGACTTCGTCGACCTGGTTCATCATCAGGTAATTCTTGATCAATTGGAATATCTAATAGAGATTGAAAAATTTGTTTTATACAAAAAAATCATAATCATATCTTACAATATGTATTAGCAATCCAACAATAACTATCTGTATAAGCTTCGTAAGATGTTTTGAATTGAGCTGGTACCTAATTCATCAAAAGAAAAGAATATATTTCATTAAGAAAATAATATTTACCCAACAATCAATAGGATCGCCTAAAAATAATTAATTATAATAACAGAAACGCACAATTGTTTATATATCTTACCAGCATATTGTTTAGTCGTAACAAGAATAGCAAAAACAACGCATAATGTTGTTGTATATCGATGACTGAGTCGATCAATATAAGAATCATCATCACGAAATTGTCTTATATGTGAAACAGAAAGACCAGCGAGTTGTCTGACTAATTCCATCTAGTTTGTTCTTTTTTTGATTGCCGTTGATGATGTTCATCGGGCATAGTCTTACTCGTTAGATCTAGAAAAAAACAAGATTATCTCAAGAGACTTAAGTTTTATCTTTTATCTCCACTCAATCAACGTTTAGTTATCGATATGTCATCGACTTACCTCGGTTTTTTTTTCTTTTTCTTAATAATGTTATTCAATTATTTTTTATCAAATAATGTTTATAAAATATCTTTTCTTCTTAGATTATTAATAGATGCGCGATTTGAACTTGAACAATAGTATTAAATCTATCTTTTCATTTCCTTCTTCTTACGCTCTCCCTTTTATTATCACATTGCATTATCAAAAAAATAATTGTAGAAACGAGCTTCGTATTTCTCTATTCTATACTATGATTCCTGTTACAACCATCATCATCATCATCATCATCATCATTACTATTACTTGGGAAAGAGAGTATGACTCAAACAAATCGTTGAGAACGAATGAAGCGAAGAAAATAAGAACATCTATCTATCTTTATATATATATATACGGCACTCTTAACACCCGGTGGTTACATAAAAAATAGCGCAAACATGAAAAAGATGTTTCTTGCACAGTTGCGATTGAATCACACATACATACGCAGACTTCGTTTGATTAGATGAAATATACGCACGTATGCACAATACTTATCTAATAAGATTTTGATATAAGTTAGCTTCAAATGATTATTCATTAGATCAGATATAATAATAATAAAAAAAAGAACTCTGTAGTAGATATGTCATTCTTATACTAACCAAAAACAACAATCTTATATTTATATCAATGTAAATATATACAACTTTGAATAGTGATAGACATGCAACACTAACGAAATAGTAGACTGTCTAACTAATTTCATTATTCCACGCGACAAGCTATACATATACACTTAGATAGATGACAACTATAATACTTGCGGTTGATGATGATGATAATCAAAAGAAAGATGATTATGTTTTTTTTTTATCATTAGACACGAGGGAGTACATGCATCGATTGTTATCAATGTACAAACCTATTCGACCAACTTATAGCTCATGTCGTTCATCTTTAGAAGCTCACGGAACAGGCAATAGGGTAACTACTCTTTTTTTGAGCACTTCGTTGCTCCGTTCTCTTTCAATTACAGTTGAGAGACACTCACGCAATCGTGCCTGTCGATCTGCGTGTGTGTTGGAGGCCAAATCGAGAGCTCAACTGTTGAAGTAAACTATCATTATATATGTATGAGAACGTATGTAATGTTGATGTTATATATTATAAAGAAAATAGATTTCTTTAGAATTGGCCATTTGTTTCCTATCAAGTTCTTCTCTTGATGATTGTCTTTCTGTCATTCATATGATTTCTAAGAGATTACATACCTGATTTTGGTTATAATACTAGTTGTTAGTTCATCTACTTTTTAGTGCTTAATTTATGCTAGTCCCAAGAGATTTTTATCTACATACAATAAGAAGATTGAGAAAAGATTCATCAGCTATGATCGAAATCGTACGGTGGATAACACGCAATACAAAATGCTCTCTTCTTTGTCCCTCTCTCTCTCCCTGTCTCTGTCTCTCTCTACTTCTCATGCTTTATCTCTTTTGCACTACTACGATTCATTGAAACAACAAGAATAGGAAAAGAAAAGAACGAGAGAGAGAGAGAGACAGACAGAGAATAGCAATAACGACAGCTTACCATGATTTTCTAAAGACAAGAGCATCTTTCTATTGGGCTAGTTAGAAACATACAAGACATAAACGTGGCATGTATGTACAACAGAAAAAAAGAACAACACATCAACAACTATCTATCCAAAATGCCACAATACCGAGCGCGAAGAATGTCTGGTACCAATCCTTTTTTCTTCTCTTTTTTTTACTCTCGTCCTTCTCCTCCTTTTCTTACTTGTTCGTCCTATTCTCATTTTCAAGCGGTCACTAATTCACACACATACACATATGAGCTAGCACGCAGGAAGCTATCTACTATCGAGGACCACTTGTATGTTAGCTATAGTGAGAAACGACAGCCGTGTGCATTAAGCTGAACTAAATGAAAGCGAAGGAAAGAAGAGAAAAAAAATGAGTAGTATTTCCCATTCTTGGAACTCTCTTGTCGGTTTTCTCGTTCGTTCGTTCGCTCTCTTTCTCGTCTCGTTCCCGATTGCCCTAATGTCATGTACAAAGAATACCCTTGCGCGGCTTGTCGCGCACAGCATCATCATTGATATAAAGATAGTCGCATGGTTTAGCTTCTAAATCACATCAGTATAAAAAAAAAGAGTGAGAAAAGAAAAGGCAAAAAAAATGAGAAGAGAAAAAAGTCCATTTTCTTTTTTTTTTCAACAAAAGATTAGAGTTGACTTTTCATTTCTATGAAGAGAAAGAAGGTGAGAAATTAAAGGGAACCATCAGATGGTGCCATAAAAGATAGAATGTGAATAAAAATGCTAAATAATGATAATGAGAATGAAATGAATGCGGCAACATTGTCAACGATCGATTATTGACAAGATAAAGAGTTGATTTAACTACTGAATAAACATGAGTATGCATACTATTCTTATCAATTTATTTTAATGACCATTGTGACCTGAACTACTAGATTATTTCTAGAATAGGTCATGAAATCAATAACCCAATAGATGATTTCAATTTAATGTATTGTAAAGAATGTATGTTATGATTTATTATAAGTTCCTGAGACGAGACACAGAAGGGAAAAAAAGAAAAAGACCATATACCATTTATCTTACAAGCAACACGTACTACTTGAAATAACAACATCCAATGTTTGTGTGTCTTCTATCATTAATTCGCATTTTCTCATATATTTTTTTTCCTATGTCTTTAATATTAATAATATTCTTCATTGCAGAAACACTCATAGTGATCGATGATACATAATACTCACTCATACAAGATAATAACAAGTATAATTAAGTGTTTGTAATCACACTTATAACAGCTGTCTAATGAAAGGTTTTTTTTTCTCCTTTATAATTAACAATCACAAAAAAAAGATGACTTTCTAAAATTAGCAAGAGAATGTTTGATTATCTCTTCCATACATCCAGAAATATACTCCTGTCACGCATTGATATTAGCTGTGCGAAAATTACTTTTCTTTTTTGTCAGACCATAACCAAGCCTTCATTTGGATATAATTACACATTTTTCATATTAGACAAAATCAAGGCTTTTAATGTTTAAATATATATATATATATTTTTTATTTAAATAATTTAAAAATAATACATTTTCTAATAAAGATATTTGTTTCTATTGAAAAATTGATGCATTTTTACAACAACACATAACAATTGGAATAATATATTGTAAAATAATTGAAATCATGGTATATTTATAAAGAGCTGATTGACAATAATTTGTTGAATTCAGTTGTGGATCATATTCAACTTGATTAAAAATACTAAATAACCAAACAGTTCCAAGAATAAGCCAAATAAAAATAAATAATTGTAAAATTATAATAATAATAGCGGAAGATATAACACAAAAAAAGCCAATTATATTATCATCTTTTTCTTTTCTATGTAATATGCATGCAACAATCGTAAAAAAAATACTTACAAGATTAACTACACTCGATACAATAAGATAAATTGGTATTCGATGTTCAATAGGACATGCAGAAATATTCGATGCACCCACAACTAATGTTATTAATGTAAAAATTAAATCAAAAGCAATACAAACAACAACACAAGGAATTGACGAAGTATTTATTCCAGCTATTCGACGTAAAATTCTACTATAATCAGTTGTTTCTGTACGAATTGGTGATTGAATTTCAGCTGTTGGGAATGGATTTAAATCTAACGCTATTGAATTAAGATCCATTTTTTTGTCTATGACAATTTTTTTATTTTTTAATGTGATTTTAACTCGAAAAAATTTTTTCACATGTATAAAGTAAATAGAAAACATAGACATAACACAAATATGAAAATTTAATAAAAAAAAATTGATTGGTAATTTTATTTCGAAAAGAACGAGAAATATTATTACTCAATTTTCTTTTTCTTTTGATTAATATTCTAACCATGGATGAGAAAGAAGAACATGCCCATTAACTGGATAAGAATTTTTAACTAAATTTACAAAATCACGTCCGAATTTTGATCCTTCACAATCAAGACATCGATCAAGAGTAAATGTTATAATTAATGTTGCTTTATAATCAGGTAATTCAAATCGATCAACAAGAGTTGCAATACCAAAATCAATTAATTGAATACCACGTTCACGAGAATACAATATATTGCCCCAATGAGCATCACTAAAGACAAAATTTCATTTTTTTTTCTAAAATATTTAAAACACAAACAGATGCATTATATGACAAGTAGCAATTTGTTTTAATGCTTCTAATTGTTGTCGAACTAGACAAAAGAATTTTTTTCATCAAAAATAAAACGATATGCTTTAATTATAATACTTAAAGGTTTAGCAAGTCGTTCTAAAATATTATCACCGTATTTTAATGGTGATATACCAGGTAATTCTTCAAATATTAAATACCATGCATTTTCATCTTTTCCAAATGTATTTGCAATACTTGAAGCAGCGGGCATCTAATTAATAAAATAGAGATCTTTAGCAATCATATTAAAAAAAGAATTTTTCCACTCACTAAACCTCGACTAAGGGCCACTTTTTCTGCGATATAATATTCAAAAGGTACTAAAATAAATAATTCTATATTAGAGGAAAAAAAACGAAATTTTTTATTTACCTAAATTTTGTTCAGCTGAACAAGCTGTTTTTCTGATAAGTCCATTTTTTGGTTTATGGTCACAAAAATCATCTGTTTCATGTAATGATTTAATATCAGTCTCATCAACACATTGAGGAATCTCATCATGATGTATTCCGTTAGATTGATGATGTTTAGTTATTTTAAGAATATAATTTTCACCATTTAATTCAATACCATAAACAGTTGCAGAATTACCAGATATAAATGTTTTTTCCCATTTCATATTACTTAATGCTTTATTATTATGTTTGCGACCGTATTCAACAGCTTGAAGAAATTCTTTTGGAATTTCTCGACCTTTTATTGACATTACACCGAATGAATTAGTGCCAGGAGCTGGAGGCGGTTTTGCACTTTTTATATAACGACGATCTTCTGCTGACCACTATTGACAAACAAAATAATTAAAAAACAAATTTTATTTAATAGAACTTACTAAATTCTTATCTAAATTGAAACCACCGACAGGCGTATGGTATAATTCATTGAGTGAACTAACTTGACCTGAATTAAGTGGACCATTTCGTGGTGGAGATAAAAAATCATCGAAAGAAGCTGATCCGTAACTTGGAGTGTCAGGTATAGCAAATTTATGAAACACTCGATGATGCTCGGGAGTCTAAAATTTAATAAAATAACTAACAGATTTTGTTTTCGAATAATTATAAAATTACTAAAGGTAAAAACTTATTTTGACTATCAGGAGATTTTTTCCAACCATGTCGAGTATATATTTTCGAATAATCACTATCGAAACCAAGTGTTGGTGTACCACCAGCAAGCTTTGGTCCAGTTGGTGATTCAAGACCAACTAAAGTACCACCATTTTCATCATCTATACTTTCATCTAATAAAAATCGACTTCGATCACTATCAGATTGATCAATAGATGGAGAATCTGAACCAAGCTATAGTTTATATATAAAAAAATTCATTTATTTTTCTTTATCAAACAAATACCCCTGATGTTGCAGACATATCTCGATGTTTAAAACTTGATTCATCATCACTTTCAATATCACTAAGTTTAAATAGATGTGGTCGTCGATAGCGAAATGATTGTGCTGATGATGCACCACCGCTACTTGTACCACTACTACTAGCACCACGTCCTTCATCTTCATCATCACTAAAAGGTCCACGAATACGTGCTGATCCTTGTTGACTCATATCATCTTCATCATCACTATCAAAACTTAATGATCGAACACCAACATTCAAAGCTTGATGAACTTCTTTTCTCGTATTACGTGGAGATGTACCAGCAAAACATCGAGAAACAATACATAAAAATAACAGATACAATCGAATGATAAATAACATTTTCAATCAAACAAAAAAATTAAAATAAAAACAATGCGCTATTTTTTATACATAGTGATGGGTATTCATCATACAATAAGTGAAAAATATTAAGTATAGAAGCTAAAATAATATTTTAAATAAATCATTTGATTTATATCAACTTTCCGTTGAGACTTTGGGACACATATTATAGATGTATTTCCTTTTCTAATTTTAATCTCTCATAATCATAGCAATGTCTCAAGACAATTCATTTCTATATTTACTCACAGATCGCTATATATATACATTTTATCTATTCATTTACACACACACAAGCGACCTCTTTCAAAAAATTTTCATTGGTTTTTTTCTTCATATGTTCTTGCACGTATATGTTGCAAGTAAATAAGCAACTAACATAAATAAAGTAATATATTCCATAGAGATAGATCCTGTCAAATGTCAATATTTCTAATCAATATTATTTGTCAAATAAATTAATATTTCGCATGTGTATGTATGGCCACGTTATCATCTTCAAATCTTGATACAACATCAAATGGTACTGTTAATAAAAATAAAAATACATCTAGTAATCATATAAATCGAAGTATTGAACGTGCACTTGATGAAGCAACATATACGGGTGAAATAAATTTAAATGCTCGTACACTTCGAGAATTTCCCAATTATAAATGTGATCTTTCAGATACAACTACTGCTGGTTTGTTACAAAATTTATAATCAAATGTTTTTTTTTTCTTACGTATATAATTTTATTTTGATAGATCTTTCTCGCAATCGTTTTATTGAATTCCCACGTATATTATGTTCATTTTTTTCTCTTGAACGTCTTAATCTTTATAATAATGCAATTAAATCAATTCCGGAACAAATTGTTCAAATTCATATGCTTAAAATTCTCGATTTAAGGTTCAACAAAAAAAAAATCTTAATTTAAATTATTTTTTTTCTTCTTCTTCTAGTCGAAATCAACTTGCTTATATTCCACCAGCATTATGTAAATTACCAAATTTAGAAGTCTTAATTGTTCATAATAATAAACTTGTTTCATTACCTGAGGAAATCAGTCAATTAGATCGATTAATTGAATTAGTATGTCTTTAAAAAAAGAAAAAAAAAAAGTTTTTTAATTGATTTGAATTATAGGATGTTAGTTCAAATGATCTTACACAATTACCATATCAAATAGGAATACTATCAAATCTTCGTACATTGAATATATCTCGAAATATGATAACTGAATTACCAACAGGTAAATAATCTTGTCAAGTATTTGAATAAAAATGAATAATATTTTATTCAGTTGAATTTTCTTAACAATCTCAGGTATTGTTTCAAAATCCTCATTGCTTTGTTTTTTCTCTCTCTGGTTAAAAAGACAAACTAAAATCCTATGCATGTAGAATATAAGAAATTAAAGCTTATGGGTTTAATTTATAATAAAAAAATTATTTTTCTTTTTTCTTTTTAAAAATCGAAATTTATTTATTTAGAATTATGTGTATTGAAATTAATTCATTTTGATTGTACTTATAATCGAATTCTTCGTTTACCATTAAATCTACGAGAAATGAATAGTTTAATTGAATTGAATGTTGAACATAATCCATTAGAAATTCCACCAGCATCTGTAAGAAATCTATTTTTTTCTATAAAAACAAATATAATTTATTATTGTAATAGGTTTGTACTCTTGGTTTACTTCATATAATGCGTTATCTTCTGGTTGAAGCAATGAAAGAAGAGAAACGACGTGGATTATTAACAGAGCATGAAATAAATGAAAAATATAAAAATTCATTTTCATATCAAACATCAAGGTAATTTTAAACGAATTAAAAGAGATTCGATTCATCAATTTTTGTAGTCATCGATGAGAAAAAAAAATACCCATTACTCTTTTATTCAAGTAGGTTAAAATAAAATCTATTAATATTGTAAACATGGCAGTTCTAGAACGATGTATCGATTAACTTCAGTTCGTATTATATTCATATCGTAAACGGGTTTCTTTCTAACTCTACGAATAAAATACGATCTATTGTTATCGTCAATCTAACCTATTACAGTTGTTTACGATTCAATTTTTGTCCCTTGCCCATTAATGTTGTATCAGACATACATCTAAATATTATGAAAAAAGGACTTGCTGAGTTAGATTAGTAAAATTAGATGTCTAGTCTGTAAACTAAATTATAAATGATCATATCTATTTGTTTTAGACATTTACAAAATGGTAAAAAACTGCGTAAAACAGTGGTACCATCTGATTCAGGTTATTTAACAACTGAAGGAAGTGAAAAAACCATTGGTGATGTAAGTAATTCAATATATATATATATATATATCATTATCTTAATTATTTTGTCTAGGATGATTCTGAATTGAGTATGACAAATGAACATCCAATTCGTGGTGAACCAACTCTTATGCTTACATTAGCTGATGAATTTTCTAAAGTATATAAATAATTAAATAAATTTCGATTGATTTATTGAATTATATAATAGGAATTAGCAAGGCAAAAAGCTGAATATGAAAAAAAGAAATGTCAAGCACAACAATTAAAACGTCATTTATTACAACAATTAGGAGAAACTGAGTGTCAAGTAAAATATCTATTCGAATATAATAAAATATCTTTTTTTTCTTTCGAATAAATAGAGAGCAAAAGCGCGTGAAATTGCTCGACGTGCACATGATGAAAAATTAGCGAAAATGGAAAAACAACGTGAAGATGCTCGGCGTAAAATGGAGAACAGGTAGAAATTTAAATTTTTATAAATCTTCTAGATAAATTTCGTTTTTCTCTGTAGTAAAAATATTCAATTATTTAATTTTACAACTAAAGATAATCATCAAAATTCTCGTACGTGGACATCTTCAAATAAACCGACATTAACTCGACAATTATCATCTACTGAATCAACAACATCGAATAATCAAATTCTTAATGAAACAATTTTAATAAATTCTTTAACTGATAAAAGTAATCATGAAAATTCCTATCAACGTTCAATATCAATTGAAAATGCGACAATAGATGAATATTTTAAACGTTCAAATCGTGCAGTGAGTGTTGAACCAAATTTAATATCCGGTGGAAATGACATGAAATATCTTTATCAACAAAAAACTCTACCTAATCGGTCAATTATACAATATGATAGTACAACGAAAATGAATAAACAATTTACATTAAGTTCAGAAACAATTGATCAATCAACGTAACAGAAAAAAAAAATTTTTTATTATTAAATTTATTTATTTATCATTTAGTTCATCATCACAAAGTTCAAAAAATGGTTTGACTCGAACAGTATGTAATCCTATTAATCAATAATTTATATTAAACGTTTTTTTTTCTTATATTAAGGATGTATCCGATAATTGTTTATCACCACAACAAAATCGATTAACGAAATTACGATATTTTGATGATCGTGAAACAAATGTAAATAAAATTATGCATTTAAAATTTATTAAATATTTGTTTTATTCAGGCTATTGTTGGTAGTGTACCCGGTTTTCATATGCAACCGAGAGGTAAATATTAAAAAAATAATATATATAAATTATTGATTTTGTTATAGTATCAACTTCAATCAATAATGGACAATATCAACCATCTCCATTAGATAATCCAGGAGTAGTTAATCCAGCATTTACTATGCGTCGACATTTACTTCAAGCGAAAGAAGATCATTTACAAGTCGACCAAATGAAAAAGGTAAATAAACGTACTTATTCTCAATCATATTGATATGAATACTCAGAATCTCGAGAAAGTGCCATTGATTTTAGATAATGTTTTGAATCTATTCTAAGAATTATTAGTTCTGTCTTTGGATAAGTATTTCTTAATGGACGCGTACGGATAGGCTTAATAAAACAATATATGTTGATGAATAGACTATAGTTTCATTGCGTCATGCTTATAATCAAACGATGACTGGCATTTGGAAATATTTCCTTATGAGTTTGTTTATATAGATAATAGTATTTATTAGAATTAAAGGGCAATCGTAGAAGGACATACGTTAGGTTCTGTTTATTTTAACTTGATCGAATCGATATTGTTCATCTTTGATTTAATAAAATTTAAATTTATTTTAGACCATAGAAGAACGTGTTAAAATGACATTACCCGATGATATTGCGTATGCATTAAGTGATGGCGTAGTTCTCTGCCATTTTATCAATCAAATTCGAGCACGTGCTGTACAAAGTATTCATGTTCCTTCACAAGCAGTAGTAAGCATATGAATACGATCATGAAATAAATATTAATAAAAACTTCTTTTAGCCAAAACTATCCTTAGCAAAATGTCGCCGTAATGTTGAAAATTTCGTTGAAGCAAGTCGTCGTATTGGTGTACCAGAGGTAAGTTAACAAACTTATATGAACTAGAAATCGAAGCTATTTTATCCTTCGAAGAAAATTGATGAATCTAAATAATTACTTTCGTAGTATCCAGAAAAATCTTCTCGTCAACAAGAATAGTTTTATCGGAAATGAATTATGAAAATATGGTCATACCGGATCCGAAAATAATTTGTCACATATGTCTTAATTAAGTTTTCTATAGCAATTAGCAAAAGATATTTTTCCTAGTTCCAACATGTTAGTATATAAATTCGGGATTTTGCTTTTATTTCTTATAAATAATTTCATGCACATATTAATTTTGTTTTTGTTTCGGTTAAATGACACATTAGAAGAAAAATTTGAATTGTTTGATATTAAAAATTTCCTTTTTTGTTTAATTTTAGGTTGATTTATGTAGTGCTCAGGATATAATTGAAGAAAAGAATACGGTGCGTTTAGCCCGTCATATTCATCTATTAGTTTCTCCGGAATCATTTGAGCAAACAAATGTTTAATTAGATTCATTCATCTTGACATCTAATGTCATCTAATCTTTCTGTCGTTTTTTTAAAATTATCTCTATTCTATTATTATCAAGCAATATTCAGTGTGTATTTGTGTGAAAATCTCAATTTTATTATCTCGATTATTGTATGTTTATTTGTTCTGTATATGAATCTGACACTTTTTTTGTTCTTCCTCGCTTCTTTTTTCTTGTTTCGACATCAATAAAATCTAAAGAATAAATTCAATTCTTTTCTAGAATAAAATATGAGTTTTACACATGATCTTAAATTACCAACATATGAGGAACTTGAATGTCCAGTTGTGAATGTTTCATCAGCTGCATTACGAGCAGGAAGTTTTCATTTAGCAAAATATTGTGATTTACAATTTAAAGTTAGTTTATCGAATGTTTTACTCATTAACAAACAAAAAAATTTGATTTCATTTAGGAATTTATGTTATGTCGACAGGTTTGTAACGAATATTTATTTGCAAAAAAACAAAGTATAGAATCGGTGAAAAGCTTTGGATTAAGAGAGAATCGTTTTTTTTCAATTAGTTCTACTAATTGAATTATTACGGTCTAGATATTCTTTTATATGAAAAAACTCCGCCGGAAGATCATTAAAAACTGTTTCAGACATATCAGGCAATAGATTTCTTTTATTATCTTGTACTTTGTTATAGTTTAGTAAGCAAGAATGAATCTAAGATGTTTAGATATTCTACTCGAATTTTTAAACTTAATTAGTTGTAACAAAAAAGGATAATTCATATTTTAATTCAGGAAGAACAAGATCCACGAAAATGTCTTAATGAAAGCAAAGATGTAACTTTATGTTCAATTGATTTTTTCCGTAGAGTACGTGATACATGTAATGATACGTTCACAACTTTTTGGACATGTCTTGATAATGCACGAGAAGGTGAAATGTCATTTAATTAGTATGTATTATTAATCATTGATTAAAAAGTACGGAATTTAATCAAGGAATATTTTAGTTGTAAACAAGAACAACGAGCATTTGAACAATGTGCAAAAGATAAAATGAATTTAGAACGACCGGAAGCGGGTTATTTTTCGATGGTTCGAATGCATGATAGTAAACGACCAATACCATCGGATCCATTTCGAATTGGTTCAGTAGATCGACATCCACCGAAATTAGATATACCAAATCCACCATCAATATCTCAAGCAAATGAATATCCGGAAGCAAAACTTGGAATGAAATTCGGACAACGAAAACCTTGGATGTTTGAATCAAAATTATGGGATTGAAAATGAATAAATTTATAGTGTTTTTCTTTTTTGTGTCTTTCAAATTATTCTCATTTGATTTTATTTTCGAATTCTAGCATATAAATCTATGAATTGTTTTTTTTTCTAGATGCCAAAAGTAACTAAAGGAAAAGGTAATAAGAAACCTGCATCAATAGAGAAAGAAGAACCAATTATTACAGTCGTTGACAAAACTGTTAAAAAAGGAATTAAACGAAAAGCGTCTTCATCGGTGGGAAAAGTCAGCAGCTACATAAAGATGATATCATTCATTTTTTTAATTATAAAATTTATTTTAGAATGTAAAAAAAGTTCCGTCAATCAATGAAGAAGCCACAACAGGAACTACTCAAGAAGTTGAAGATGAAGAAATTCAATTACCTCGTACAATGACATTAAAAACATCTGATCGTTTGTCAACTAAAGGTGAAAAAGCAACATTAAAACTTGTATCATGGAACTTAAATGGTATTCGTGCATGGATAAAAGGTGATGGATTAAAATATATTGAACAAGAACAACCAGACATGATATGTTTTCAAGTAGAAATTTACTCTTTTTGTTTTGTTTAAAATTAAATTTATATGTTTTTAGGAATTAAAATGTGATAAAGAAAAAATTCCAAGTGAAGCAACACCAACTGGTTATAAATCTTATTGGCTTTCTGGTGATACTGGTAAAATATTTAGTTTTACAAAAAAATTCTTTATTTCAATAATTATTTTATTTAGCTGGTTATTCTGGCGTAGGTCTTTTAACAAAAATTGATCCTATTGAAGTTAAATTTGGTATTGGAATACCTGAACATGATAATGAAGGACGTGTTATAACAGCTGAATATGAAAAATTTTATTTTGTTGTTTCATATATACCGAATAGCGGTAGGAAATTAGTACGTCTAGAATATCGACAAGAATTTAATGAAGCATTTCGAAATTATCTCAAAGAATTAGATAAAAAGAAACCTGTGATTTGGTAAAAAAAATCTCTCTCTATAATTATAAGACATGTAATTAGAATTAGTGATTTATTTTTAGGTGTGGAGATTTGAATGTATCACATCAAAGTATTGATTTAGCTAATGCAAAATCGAATACAAAAACTGCTGGATATACACAAGAAGAACGTGATGATTTTACAAAAATTCTTGCCGATGGTTTTATTGATTCATGTAAGTTTTGTTTCTATACAAATCTTGAAGATGAAAATGATTGAAAATTGAATTATTTAAAATAAATAGTTTGCCAATAAATTATTTTATATTGCCGTTAGGCATACTTATTTTTCTTCTAACTCTCTTGCCTTGCACATCTTCAGTTAATTAAGTGGAAAAATTGATTTAGATAAAATTTTTTTATTAATTATTTAGTTCGTCATCTTTATCCTGAACAACGTGATGCATATACATTTTGGTCTTATTTTCGAAGTTCTCGTGATCGCAATATTGGTTGGCGTTTAGATTATTTTATTATATCATCTCGTTTACAAGAAAATCTCTGTGATGTTATACATCAAACAGGTGTATATGGCTCAGATCATTGTCCAATTGTTTTATTATTATCTGTTTAAAAATTAAATAATTTCTTTTTTTTTCTTTTCTAAATATGATTTTTAATGTATTATGTTTGTCTTAGCTATTTTTTTAATAATAAATATAATCATGATGCAAATGATTAACATATTGTCAATCATTAAGACACGGCGAAAAATATTATTGTTAGTATTGTTACTCATATTGCATGTTCTTCTCGACATTCGGCAAGGTTCCAGCGAGAATAATAATGAAGAATAAGAAGAGAGAAGAAGAAAAAAATGAAGGTATTGTTACATGCACAAATTGGTTCATTCAATTATTGAAAGGCACGAGTAGTTGTAATGACAGAGAGTAAGTGTCTAGTGTTCGTTCATTTTCTTTTTTTTCCGCTTTTTTTCTTCTTCTCCTTCTTTTATTCTCTAAAGAACTATATTAAAAAGTAGAGTTGATAAAAAACTCAGAATAGAATGAATCTATTCACACTTATAAAAATGATAATTACAACGTATAGGTATGATAGTAAGATGTAAATTAAAGAGTATAAACCTTTAATATTAAATATAATTAAAATCAGTTGACGATCCTTAAGAGACATACATACATGTATCTATATATATATATAGATAGATATAAATATAGTCTTTTATATAATCCTCTATTCTTTCTTTACTATCTCGAGAGGCTTTTTTTAACGAGTATCACAATTTATATATCGTTTGTTAGCTTTTTCTTTTTCTCCATGTTGCCTCTACACTACTCTTCATTTCCTTTTCCTTCATCTGTTGTAGTCGTCTTTTCTCGATCGCCATCATTCGCGCATTATACTCTCGAAGAATCATCATTGCCGTTAAATAAACCACCGGTTCAATGAATGTTTTCAGGGTAAAAGAGAATAAAAGAAAGAAAAAACAGATTTTTATCATTAAACAGATCACTATTCATTTATCATTGGCATTTATTCAATAGAAAAACGACACTATTTTCCACTCGATCGTTTTTTTCTTCTCCTCTTCTTCTTCTTTATTTTTAGGTTTAATCTATTTGGATAGATAGTTCTTATTGTTTGGTGACGTTTAGGAAAACGTACCCATTTACATTTCAATATTTTACATAAGTAAGTAAAATTATCTTGAATAGAAAAAATAAAATGACTTGTCATAGTTCTCATTCCCTTTTTTTTTTGAATTTAACTTTTTTTCTATTTATTATTCTTTGTTTCGGCTATATGCCATCTGGGAAATCTAACATTCAATCGTTTAGAATATGACTTTATTGTTACATTTTCTTCCTGTATTTTAATACATCTATCATAGTAAACATAGTTACGTATGACATTAGAGAAAACAAATAATAATCACTGCTCGACATTTGACATTGCGCCGATATGTAAGTACTTTTTTAATCTCGTACTTCAGAAGAAAAAAAAGAAATATATTCGCTTTCTATGACGATAAATAATATAGAATATTATCAAACTTCGTAATTAAGATATAAGAAATGAACCTCTTATGAATAGTATATGCATGCACACATTTATTGATTAAAGTTTTGACGTCAGTAGAAAGTATAATCACACCTGTTTCCTACAAATTCATCATCTTTTTTTGAATTTCTACTTTGTTTTTTTAATCATCTTTTTAAAGTCATTCTAAAAAAAGAAAGTCTCGATTAATAATTATAGACTTAAGGTAAGAATTATAATTATTTATTACCAGTTATCTATTTTCATGTTAGATATCTGACATTGTTTTTAATACTATTAGTACATATGGAAAAATTATATCGATCATCGAAGTATTTCGTATTAATAGCGTCATTAACCATGCATAGATAATAATACAAATTTCTAAGAATCATATGTCAATTCATATACGTTCTATGACATTTTCTCTATGAAAATCAGTTTCGTGTTAATGAGATTAATGATGTGACAAGTCGCTAATATAATGAGGGAATAACACGGAAGCGCATATCTGAAACCTTGTATATAAGTTATCTGACGACTGTTTAAATGACAGACTTCTGTCATTGTATGCATTAATAATTACATGTTGATCTTTCTTTTATATTCAAATTATCAAGTTCGCTTTTGTATCTTGTTTTCTAATTAATCTTTTACAAGATTTTCATATGCATTTATTTAAAATAGAATAGAAACAAGCTGAGATAAATATTTTGTTTGCTTACAAGAGTGTAATTGTATGATGTGACATACGATGTAAGATAGTCATGCTAATCTTATCAAAAAAAATCGGAAAGAGAAAGAAGATTGTCTGTCCTTGATGATTTTCGAAGCTATCCGAGATAGATAGAGAGAGAGAAAGTATGCATATTTATGCAAATCACTAAAGAGTGTTAATTTGAGACGAATGGATAAATATGCATTAAGTCATCGTTAACAAAAACAACATTTTTAAGCACCTATATCATAGAAAAGATTTTTCTATATTTAAGGGGCACATGTTTTCAGCTGTTGTTGATGGGCTGCAAGAGCTCGAAGCATGAATTATCTAACGATGATCTTGAATTTCTAAAAACTCATACATCATATTCAGAAAAAAAAATCAAAACTTGGTACAAAGGCTTTATGGTATAATCAGATTTGTTATAATTATATTTTACTTCAATTGTTTTCTTTTTTAATATTTAAGAGAGATTGTCCCAACGGTGAATTAACACGCGATTCATTTATTCAAATCTACAGGCAATTTTTTCCCCGAGGGCGTGCAGAAAATTTTTGCGAACATGTCTTTCGTGCTTTTGATACTGGTAACAAAGGAAAACAAAACAGAGTGTAATTAATAAACGATTATGTTTAATCATTTAGATACGAGCGGAAAAATTGATTTTAAAGAATTCTTACAAGCAATTAATATTACATCACAAGGAACACCTGATAAAAAGTTAGATATGGCATTTCGTATGTATGATTGTAATGGTGATGGTTCAATTGATGAAATGGAAATGAGACGTATTATAAGCGTATGTTTTCTTTTTGTTCTTGAATAGAATTTAATAAATTACTTCTTTTACTTCTTTGTTTTGAAAAGGCTATTTATGAATTAATTGGTGATGAAATTGAGAAAGGGGAAAGACAGATGGAAGCAGAAGAACGTGCCATGAATATATTTATAATGATGGATAAAAATTCTGATGGTATTATAAGTCGAGAAGAATTTGTTGATGGTTGTTTAAATGATGAACAACTTTATCAATTATTAACGCAATCGAGTCGATTAGGTGATACTCGAGGTTCCCAATCATCACTTGAAGATTAGTGTTTTTCATTTCTTTTCTTTTCTTTTCTTTTTTTCTCTTTTTCTTTGTCTCTCTAAATAAACAACAAATGTCAGTGACAATCATTATTTTTCAAAATAAATTAGCGTCTTTTTATTTCGCCTTTTGTCTTGTGTACTTGTATCTTTATGATTAACATTCCTTTTATTCTTCATTAAATAATATGAATAATCTGGACTAATCTATTTATATTAAGATTAATGTTGCAAATATCAGATAATAGAAAGAACAAAAACTACATGATATAAATTTTTAATCATGTGTAGTTTTCTATATTATTTCAAAAATATTGAAAAGAGTCAAAAAATATTCTATGATGTTATTGATATATCTGTCTGAATAAAATAATTATCTACCTTGAAGGACACTTTATATTATTTAACTGGATATAAAGATTGAATACTTTTACTTAGTGATAATTGATGTTTTTTCAAGTATAAATAATCATTTATGCTATATTAGATACAGGAAATATATATTCAATTCATTAACAATCTTTTGAAATATTAGGAATAATGTCCTTGAGATTTCAATAGAATTAAATGAAGTGGAAAGAACGTATATACTTTTTTTTTATCTACTTTATATAAATAGCATAATAAGCTAGTTGTATTTAGGCTTTTATTAATTAATTTTTTTGTTGAATATTTAATTGGGTTTAAAATAGATTTACTATAAAAACATAATATCCTTTGTATAGAGATGGGTAAGTACACTCTTTTTCAAGTACGACTATTAACCTTTCGAGACTTAAATACGAATTTTTGAAGTGGTTGTTAAGGAAAATATGTCATACTTATGTCAATAACAGAGTATCCTAAAAGTTAATAATCAAAACTTTTTTCCAACTATTTTTATTATCAAATTTCAACATAAAACTATTATAATAGATAATAAAAAGTCTACAATTTTTACGGACTAAAGAATCATAGGAATTTTTAATAAAATATACTTTATCTAGAATCTCAAGTATATCATTCTCAAGAACGAATCATATTGACCCTCCGGCCACGAGTAGCTGGGAGTTCGTGCTCGAGTACGAGTTCCGGCAAATACGTACTCGAGTATGAGTATTGAAGATATAATGCGTATTTGAATGAATATAAGGGATTTTTGTTATTGCTTTAAAATTATTTTTAATTTTAATTCAGTCTCTCTAAGTACATGTTTTTATAGAATTATTTTAACCTTTAAATATTAAGCTGTACTTTTTACTTTAAAAAACAGGATTAAGCCAAAAGAGATCAGACACATTATTTTTGTATAAAAAAAATTTAAAAATAGATAATCTTTCAATTATTTATTTTTTATGACTAGTCTATTAGACAAAGCTATAATGATCATCATTGAACGACATCTATTAACTAGCGACAAATATGTATTCTAGTTGTTGTACTTTATCATATGATCGTCTCTTATTCATGCACCTTTCAACTAGATATCCATTTTTTATCAATCATTATTTTTTACGTTCTTTGTTCTAATATATTATCACATATTCTTTAATCTTTAAAACTCAATTAGCCATTATATTTGTTTGTCAAATGTAAACGCCTTTATTTTGTTGTATATCTTATCTACTGAGTATTATTCAAAATTCATATCTAATTCTTTTCTTTTTGTCGTTATATTTTTGTGGCATATATACATAAAGGTAATTTAAGTACATCTTTAAGCTAAAAATATATAAAAACTTTTTTTCGTTGTTCTAGAATACAAAGTCTAAATAATGACTGCGGATATTGAAGTAAGAATAATTTCTATATGAATTTAAATATTAAATTTATATCGATTTAGTGCCGAGATTATCGTAATTTTCCTAATGACACATGTGCGTTTATGCGTACAACATCTGATTGTAAATTAGAAGAAGGATTTATAAATTATCTCACATTTCTTTTTTGTACTATTGGTGATAAATTACTACCACTTGGTTTAACAATATTAGTAATTATTATTATACAGAATTTTATTATTTAAAATAAATATTTTCAAATATAATTTAAGGCTGCTTGGCTATTCGTTCTATTTATTGGTCTTGGTGTAACTGCTGATTCTTAGTAATGAAATAAATATGAAGAAAAATTATAATTAGAATATTTTTATTTCATAGTTTTTGCCCTGCTCTTCGTGTTATCGCTCGTGTTCTTAAGTTATCAGAAAATATTGCGGTTTGTTTTATTCATAATAACCCACATTTTATAATAAATATTCGTTTGTTCAGGGTGTTACGTTCCTTGCCTTTGGTAATGGTGCACCGGATATATTTTCTGCTATAGCAGCTGTTAGTAGTGCCAAAGGTGGTGATGTTGGTTTAGCATTTGGTGCTCTTTTTGGTATTTCAAAAAATTTAATTTATTTTCTAATGAAAAATTTCTTTTTTTTCAGGTGCCGGTGTTTTTGTAACAACTGTTGTTGCGGGTACAATATGTCTTGTTACACCATTTCGTTCTATACAACGACCATTATTACGTGACATAATCTTTTTCATAATTGCATCATTTGCTGCTTATGTTGCAATGTATGATGGAAAGATTTATCTTTATGAAAGTTTAGGTTTTATAATTATGTATGTTGTATATTTAATTGTTTTAATTGGTGGTTATTTCGTAAATCGACGTATAAAAGATCGTCGAGCATTAATACAAGCTGCACATACAGAAGCAGCTGCTAAAACATATGGATCTATACAAACACCTGAAGAAACAACGGTATCAGTAGATAATATTAATATTCCCGATGAAAGTTATGCACAACCTGATGTGTCATTTGCATTATCACTTCGTCATGCATTTTTACCACGTGACGATATGCCTTGGGCAGAACGAGGAAAATTTAGTAAATTTTTTTCGATATTTAAAGTAAGAAAGTTTTGATAAATTGAAATTGCTTAATGGAAATTTTTATAGATGCCGGTTAGTCTTTTGCTTCATTTTACTGTTCCATTGGTTGATTATGATAAACCAGAACATAATTGGAATAAACTTTTGAATTCATTCCATCTTCTTTCCGGTCCATTGATTGTGTCATTTCTAACACAACGTTAGTAGATTTTAATAAAGAAAATTTTGTAATATCTTTTTGTTTTTTCAATAGTGGGATTTATTAAAATTAAAAATGTGTTTCCTATTTGGGCTGTAGTAGGAATTGTGGGAACAATACTTTGCTTTGCAATGTTAATATTAACTGAACATCATTCCAAACCAAGATATCATTCAGTAAGAAAATCTTTATTTATGTAACATAATCTTATCTTTTCGGTTTCCAAAAATAGCACAAAAAAATAGGGTAAAGAATAATTAAACAATAACGAGACATGAAATGAATAAATTAGTATATTCTCATCGAATTTTACTAGTAATAATAATTATGAAAATGAGAGAGAAATATCCGAATAATATTAAACGAAGTAAATGAAAGGAATGTATAATATACTTATTAATTGATAGTTCTATTGTTTGGTGCCTTGAAGAATTTTTCAATCATTTTAAACTTTTTTAGGGTTTTGCCTTTCTTGGTTTTGCTGTCTCTGTTGTTTGGATTTATTCAGTTGCGAATGAAATTGTTAATTTATTAACAACATTTGGTATTGTCTTTGATATAAGTAATACAATTCTTGGTTTAACATTTCTTGCATGGGGCAATAGTTTAAGTGGTAAAATATTTAATTTAATTTTTTTTTTCATTTTAATCGTCATTTAAATAGATTATGTATCCAATGTTGTTTCTGCTCGACAAGGCTATCCAAATATGGGTATATCAGCATGTTATGGTGGTCCACTTCTAAGTATGTTTTAACTGAATTGTTTGAGAGAAACGTAAAATACGTTCGAATCTATCAAAGCGAAATATCTATGCTCTCAGTTGCTTAAAATGCTTTGATTTGCTCAAGCAACTTCTAATATTTCGCAAAATTATAGCTAGTTCGACTCTCCACCGATGACTATTTCTGATAATAATCATGGACTAACAGTCGGCAACATCATTTAAACTTTATTTTATTTTAGATTTTCTCATGGGTTTGGGTCTTCCGTTTACATATGTAACATTGAAAACTGGCGCACCCTATGCCGTATGTATCTCTTATAATAAAAAAATGAATATTTCTTTTTAATTTTTCTTCTACAGATTGATAAATCTTTATTACAAAATGTAATTGCTTATTTTCTATTTGGAAGCTTGGCTGGTACACTTTTATTTATACCATTAAATAAATTCTTCTACAGTCGTCGATTTGGTTTAGTATTAATTGCATTTTATGTTGCGTTCCTAGCGCTGGCTATACTAATTGAAACACATATTATTGGATAGAATAAACTTATTAAAAAAAAAATGTAATCTAGTCGTTCGATTATATGTATTATTTTTGTTTGTCTTTCAATTTCATAATTATGTATTTTTTTTTCTATGATTCTTATGTTATTTCTAAAGAATATGGATGATCGGATCCTATTCTTTTTTTGTGAATGAAACTGAGAAACGCAACAAATTGTTATTATTATGTTTGTTTGACAGTTTTTGAAGTTCTGTGAAAAAAATATAGAATGAATGAAAAAAAAAATGAGAAGTGTAATATTAACAAAACATGATATTCAATCAGCTGGTTAACCCTAATATGATCGAAACATAAAAATATCGAAAATTAAAATATCGAATACAAAAATGAGGGTGCAAGTGGCAATATAATAGTGTAGGTGAAGGAGAAAGGTGTTTCTACTTCTATTTTCTTTCATTCTCAACATTCCTACTTTTCTGATTATCCAGCATTTGGGTTTTCGATATTAATATTTTCGGCGTTATTAGGGGGAATCCATCAGCTATTCAAAGCCGATCAAGATTTTTTAGGTTGAGTTTAACATGAAGAAAGAATAAAGTAATACTACAGAATTGGAGAAACAAATTAGATCAAAATATCATCATATATAATATGGACGACATTTTCTGCTATAGTAATATGCATGTTCACATCTTTCAGTAAAGTATGTTATGATAGTGTTAGAATGTAAGCAATGCATTCGAATATAAACATTTCGTTTTTGATTGAGCACACTGCTTATAGATCATAGTTGAACAGAATAAACGACCTTGAGTTTGTAATATCTCAAGAATTCAATAAATAAAAGCATAAATAGTACATATTGTTTAGTGATAGTTTAGCTGTTGAGGTCAACTTGATATTATTCCATAGTAACTATTATTGTTCGTATTACCACTGTACAAAGTCGAGTATATAATAAATGTCAAATATAAGTGCTACTCATTATTTATTACAACCTAAAAAAACTATTTCTATTATCATTCCTGATATAGAAAAAAAGTCATGTTTGGAACACATATTTTCACTGTTACTTAATAAATAAATAAAAAAGGTACTCTTATATATAAACTGAACCCATTAACTATTGTTTTTAAATATTTAGATATCATGACTTACATGCATACTAATAAAAATTAGACAGAAGAAAATTATTTCTTTCTCATGTTTATTTAAAACTTAATTTTCATTACATTGATTAAATGTAACAGACTTCAAAAAAAAATTTTCATCTATGTCTTGTTGTTACAAAACTAGGAGATTTTTACAATTTTTTTATGGATTTATTTATAATCCAATCATAGATAAAATCATTTTTAATATTCATTGTTTGATATACTTGTTTAATTAATGAAAATATATAAAAATAATTTGGTTCTTCAGCAAAACCAAGTTGTCGTGTATATATTAATAATTCTTGAAATTCTTTTGGTAAATTTAAACATAAATTTTCCATATGTGTATGAAGTTTAATTTCATAAATTTTTTCTTGTTTTTCTTTCTTATTTCTACATTTAATACCTTGCCATGGTAAATATTTATCTAATCGTGCTAAATAAATTAATGTATAAGCAAATGATTCTAAATCATCACGACGTGATTGTTCTATTCCAGCATGTGTACGAAGACTAGCATAACGTATTGTACCTAGAAAATGTTTCTTATCATTATATTCAATATGTTGACGTGTTTTTTTATTTAAATAATATTTTGATAAACCAAAATCAATTAAATAAACATTTTGACATTTAGAATTAATACCCATAGTGAAATTATCTGGTTTGATACTGAAATAAAACGAAATATTCATATTCAGAAGAAGACAAAACAAGCATCTGGAAAACGATGAAAGTAGAACGACTAATTAACACATCTATAGAAGACATTGAATTACATAAACAAGGTAATAGAAAAAAATAAACTAGAGTTTAAATATTTTAATCAAAATCGGATACGAAAAGACTTTTACTGATAATTATCAAGCATATCTGACAATTTCGATTATTTTAATTAATCTTAACAGTTCTTTTCTTGGAAAGGAAATCAGTAAACTCTCATTACTGTCTTTTATAATGTATAAGCCGACTAATAATGAAGATTAACGTATATTTATATACAACATCTAATAGATTATATAGTAAATGTTTGATTCGTTGAAACTGTAAATTTTTATTATTACAGAAGACAGATTATATTTAGATGATTTTGTAATATACCGTAAGAGAAATGTACTATACTGACAAGCTATATATAAACATAATTAGGTTCTTTTATTCATTATTACAGTTTAAAAAGTAATTTATTTAAAATAAAATAAAATAAATTACTTTATTCATTTTTCTTTTATTATTAATAATGCATGACAACAATTGTTCTAGAAATAACAACTTACTCTCGATGTATGATAGATCGACGATGTATATGACAAATTCTTTCAAGCATTTGTTCACCAAGTAAAAGAACAGTTTTTATAGTAAATCGTCTATGACAATAATTATATAAATCTTCAATACTTGGTCCAAGCATTTCAAGTATGATTGCATGATAATTATCATCTACTGTTCCATACCTTGATATATAGTCTGTTTTTCGAGTAAATTTCCGATTGAATTCATCTTACCAATACATTTTAGGGATACCAATACCTTCAATAGAACGATAGATTTGACTTTCTCTAGATAATTGTGGATGAGAATTAGTTTTTGATTCAAATTTAATTGCAACTTTTTCATTAGTTATTAGATTTGTTCCTTGATAAATATAACCGAATGAACCTGAATTTATTGGTGATTGTATAGACCATCGATTTTTAATTATTTTTGGAATTGTTTCTTGTTTCATATGATTATAATTGCCTTGAGATGATCGATGTTTATATGATTTAGAAGAAAGCAATTCTGTTATTTGATGATAATGAGATTTTAAACGCATTGATTATAATTACTTTAAGTTTTTATTTCTTTTCTTTTCTTTTTATAAACAAGGTAATATCAATTATCTAAAGGCGGGCTTATTAGTCATATAAGATAGATATATATATGTATATATATAAGCAAGAAAAATAGTGTATAATTTTGTCTACTAAATTGATGTTCTCTCGGTCAAATGCAAGCAACAATATATATATATATATATACATAAACATCAGAATAATCTATAACGACATTGTCGACAATAGTTTGCTATCATAAATACCAAATGCAAGCTATTATATGACATACAAAATGAGATTTGATTGCAACAATCTTTGTATAAGATAGGCATATGAAGTTTTTTGTATGTCTGTTTGTTGTTGCATGATAATGATGATGATGATTTTTTGCCTTGCCTTGCCATGTCTTTTCTTACCCTGCTATTATCATTTACATTCATTTCATATCATATCATGCTCATCATCGTTCGTCATCGCGCTAGCAATAATGCGGCTGTATAATCGACATTAACAACTCGACGTCAACGTTAATCTTCCTATTCTTTCCCTCCCTATCATTTTCTTCTCTCTCTCTCTCTTTCTATTACTTGCTATAAGAGAGAATTCAGCAAATCGGATGCCTCGTTCTATCAATAAATCGGACGAATCGAAATAGAGAATATACAAAGAAAGGAAAGAAGAAGATTAATTTTGTTTTTAATATAAACTGTTTTATGATATTGGTAGCATGTATGTCTATGTATATATTTTATTCTATCGTAATTCGGATTCGTTGAGGGAATAAAAAATAAAAAGAGACAGAGTAAGAAGAGAAGAAAAAAACATCTATACGTATACAACAAAAAAAAGAAAGAAAGAGCGAGAACAATCTACTTTTTTTACTCATGTGTATTAGACTGTAGCCTCTTTTTAAACCTTTTTCTTTAATTAATTTGTCTCTAGATTGTTATTACTTGTAAAGCACATATTAGAACAAAAAACGTGATTTATTTTTCAATGGAAATCTTACGTGCAGAAACAAATGATTATCATCATTTAAAAGTATGTATAAAAGTATTTTATTTAATAAAACAAAACAAAAAAAATTATTTTAATAGAATACGGATAGTCCGGCAAAATCATCTCGAGCATCATCATCATCATCAACAATTGATGATGATGATGATGATTGTTTTTCTAATGTAAGTGTACATGATGAAAAAGTTCGGTCAACTAGTAGTACAAATAAGAATGAAAATGATAGTACGGATTCATCAACAAATATAAATCGTTCAATATCATCAACCAATGATTATTTACATCAACGTGAACATCTTGCAAAAGAATATAAAGATTATGAAGATCGTTGGTTAGCACATCGAAATTTTCTTCTTTATACACAATCCTTTGCTATGAAACCAGACGATCGTGATCGTTTATTTACACAATTAAATACGAATAATAATGAAGAAAATTCTCCTCTAAATCAATTACAAATTCAACAACAATTATTTCATCGTTTATCAAAAGAAGAACGAGATCGATTTCTAGCAGCTGCATTATATCAACAACAACAACAACAGCAACGAAGTCCTTATAATTTTCATTCATATCCATGGGCAGCTAATTCAACAACACCATCGATACTTTCACCAACACTAAACGTTACAACACAAGTTCAATCATCATCATCTGATAATCAACAACCACCAAGATCACCTGGTTCAGATGATAGTGGAAATCAATCTAATTCTGGTAGTACAACTGAATGGTAAATATCAATATTTATCTATCCAAAATTCTTATTGTTTTGTTTTGTTTTTCGTAGGACTTTTGAAGAACAATTTCGTCAGGTAAATTGATATTTATTATCTGATATTTTGATTGAGTAGAAATCAATTAGGTTCAGTCTGACTGTTTCTATATCTCTATTGAGATCTATCTTTTCCTTCTGTTTGCACATCATTTGGATTGTGTGCATCGTTCGCTCTTTTCTTTGTAGAACGAGCGAGTGTTGATAGCTTTGAGGCAATAATTAATTGAAATGTTTGGTATATATATATATAGATGATCTGCCATAAAAGATGTAACAAAAACTCATTCATCTATGTTCTTTTTCATAGTAGCACTTATCTATTATTGAAGACACACCAGTTAAGAGAGAAATCAAAAACACATCTATCTTTTTTTTCTTTATCTTATACAACAGTTGAACATATCGAGGCAAATAAACCCAAAAAAATATAGAATAATGAGAGAGAACGTTGACCATCTGTATGAATAGACACACATGTCGCTTATTATTTATTTATAAGAAAATTTTTGAGCACCAAAAAGATTAAGTATTTAAAATTCTTTCTCAACATTAATTTCATATGAGAATAGAATATATTTTTCTTTTGTTGATATTATAACAATACCAACATCATTTCAGTTGATTAGATCGGAAAATAATTATCATGCTGAAGGTTACCAAAGAAGAAAAACATAATATGTCTGTTTTCATCTTTCTTAGCTACAATCAGATATTATGATCGAGATAGCTCGACTGACATTTCTGTTGATATTCTTTATCAAGTTTATATAATAAAAAGAAGAAGAACTTTTGTCTATTTCCTATTCATTAAAAAACATTTATAATTATACAGCTGTTATTTCGTTTGTATTTTCTATTCGTTGAAACTAATTTTCTTTCGATTAAGGCCAGTCCGTTTTTTTTGTCTGATGATCAATTTATCGTTTATATATATATATATATATCAACTAATTGCCTTTGTAGAAAAAAGAAGGCACATTAGTTTGCTCATTTATAAATATGTGAAGACTCTTTGGATTATTGATGTGCTAGGTCGTCTATATATATACATACGAGATGGATCAACAATTAGCGTTTTTCCATTTTTGATTCAAAGGAATATGTCTGATCATCAAACGATATTTATATATATATATAAAGAGAATGTCGCAAAGGAACAGCACAGCTCGAGGCAATATCGATTATTTGCTACTAATTGCATTGTTTCGAGGCAGATGGTTGACGAGAAAATAAATGAGCATCTTAAAGAAAAGATTTCTTTTTATGGACTATTCGATTTCACTTTAAAAAAACAAAAGAGATTTTCCAGCTGCTGTATCGATCATTATTATTAAAATAAAATCAGCTTAAATCAATTTCTTATCCTATATGTAAGTCACGTTATTGTTTTACTAGTCAGAAAGAATATTAAAACGATGAACTTTGTTTGGTTTCTTCTTCTTCTTATCAATAAGAAGGTCAAATTGAGCAGAAAGCCGGTCGATCACTTGTGTGTATATATATGTCTTGAAAAGCTTCATCGATAATCACAATTATAAGTTCGAAAAAGATAGTCATATAGAAATAAATAAACAAATCTTCATTTGTATATACTCGCGATCGGGAGGGGAAGTAATTTTCTATCTACTATTAAATTAGTCTAATGAAAAGAAATTATTCATTTTTCTTTTTTGTAGCTCTATGAATTATCCGATGAACCAAAACGTAAAGAATTTCTTGATGATTTATTTGCATTTATGCAAAAACGTGGTACTCCGGTTAATCGAATACCTATTATGGCTAAACATGTACTTGATTTATGTAAGTACATATTAAATTTAATAGAGAGAGAGAAATAAATGTTCTACTTTTTTTTGTAATTTTAATTAAGATGAATTATTTCGTTTGGTTGTTGGTAAAGGCGGATTAGTTGAAGTCATTAACAAAAAATTATGGCGTGAAGTGACGAAAGGTCTTAATTTACCAAGTTCGATTACTAGTGCTGCATTTACTTTACGTACACAGTATGTATAACTATCTTTTCATTGAAGTGTTGACATATATAATGTGTTGGACTAATAAAAGTCGATTACTCTCTTTCACATATGTTGTCTATCATTTATCATATGTCAATGTCTTGAACATAAACGATGAGAAATCAATTTGTTTGTAGTCTAGATTTCTCTAATTTATTATGAGAACAATATAATATTATTCTGATTTGTTTTCTTTCTTTCTTTCTTAAGGTATATGAAATATTTATATCCATATGAATGTGAAAAATTACAATTAAGTTCATCTGGTGAATTACAAGCAGCTATTGGTAATGATTAATAATATATACATTTTTTTCTGATAAGATTATAGGTAAATTGCTTATTTTAGAAGGAAATCGACGTGAAGGTCGTCGACCATCCTATGCATTTGAATATTCATCACCTCCACAAATCATGCCTCCACCACCGCCACCACCACCCATAACAACAGCATCAGCAAATGGCTTTCTTGCTAGTCCGCTTGCACACAGACCATGTAATATACATATTTCTATTATAGATTCTTTTTTTTTGCTAAAATTATATTGATTTTTAAGTGGATCCAAATCATGCGGCTATGGCTGCTGCATTATCTCACCCATTTTTTCTTGCGGCTGCAGCAGCAGCATCTTCATCATCATCACGCGATGTTAATGAATCATCATCATCAATGATTTCACGAATCCCTTCATTTGAAGATCATCACCGTATATCATCACCAATAAAACGAAGTATTTCACCTTGTTTTTTATCAAAATCTAACGATGATACAACAAAAAAATTTGCATCAACAACAAATTCACCTTCATTATTATCTCAAGTTAGTAAATTAAAAATAATTTCAAAAGGTAAATAAAACTTTTTTCTTCGAAATTTTTTTTATAAATCTTTCTTTACTTTTAGATCAAGCTTTGGAACAACAAATTAATGAAAAATCAATTAATTTTGCCATTGAATTAAATGGAATTGCTTATCAGGGTACATTATATGCATCAACATTTACCGGTAGCAAAGAATAAACTTCATACATGTATATGCTTCTGAACAATTACTTTCGACATATTTTTTTCTTCAGTTTTTTTTTTCGTTTTTTGTTTATCATATTTCTCGTTTCATGTTTTTTTCTTTTGTATTAACAATAATTAAATGATTATATGAAATAGCAAATTATAATTTTTGAATGAAATGATGATGTAAGAAAGACTTGATGATATGAACATAGTTTGGATTTTATCTCTAGTGTGAACACAATCAATCATGATTTACATGTTAGTTATCTTGTATTCGAAAGCGACATCACATGGAAATATACAATATTCATCCAATACCTATTTTACGGGACTGCAGATGAATCATTTGTAATATATACTTTTTTTTCTTTCTCTGTTCCGAATTGATTTATTAATTCAATTAAATATGTCAACTCGTAGTCGACAGTCAACTGGATCTGTTACTTCTAAAGCAGATCATCCATCTTTAGCTCTTGCTGAAAGTTACGATGAAGAAATTGCACCTTTACTCACAACAATTGACCAAAGTAAATCTTCTTTTTTAAATATAAATATAAAATCTGTTTTTCTTATAATTCAAGTTCGAAATCGAGTGTCTGATATTGATGCAACAATTGATCTACCAGCGATTGTTGTTATTGGTGAACAAAGTTCAGGAAAAAGTAGTGTTTTAGAAGCTTTATCAGGCATACCTTTACCTCGTGGTGGACAACATATGACAACAAAATGTCCTCTTGAACTTCGTATGCGTCGTTCACCAACTTGGCATGCAACTCTTTCATGTTCAGGTCGTCTTATACGAGATAATATTCCAACTGCAAATGAAATTAGTCAATATATTAATCAGGAACAAAATCGCTTAACATTTAATCGTGATCAAATATCAAAACAAGTTCTTTCGCTCGATATTCAAGCACCCTATTTACCAAATTTAACTTTAATTGATCTTCCAGGAATAATTCAAGTAACATCAAAACAACAAGATAGTGAATCAGTTAATATGATTGAAGAATTAATACAAGAATATCTTGATAAACCATCAACAATAATTCTTGCTATTATTCAAGCTTGTAATGATATTGAAACATCAGCAGCAATTAAATATGCTAAAATGTTCGATCCAGATGGTGAACGAACAAGTAAAAGGGATAATATTTCTTTATATATATTAAAAAAATAAATTTTAGTTGGTGTATTAACAAAACTTGATCTTGTTGATCGCGGAGTTGAACAAAAATTATTAGATGTTTTTGATAATAAACGTATACCATTAAAACATGGTTATCTCATGGTTAAATGTCGTACACAAGAAGATATTGATAATAATATTGAATTAAGTATGAAAATAAAATGAATTAATTTTGTAAAAGAAATTATTTTATTTTTTAGGTGAAGCACTTCGTAAAGAAGAACAATTTTTTTCTAAATCGCAAAAATTTCATTCAGTACCAGCTGAAAGACGCGGTTGTCCATCATTAGCTCGTTTTCTCACTCGCGAACTTGTTCGAAGTATAAAACAAGCTTTACCACGTCTTATTACTGATTTACGTACAAAAATTAATAACGTCGAACAACAATTTCGTCAATTAGGTATTGAAGATTATACTCAATTATTATTTACAAATGAAGCACGTTCAAGACATTTAACAAATAAACTATTTACTGCTATGCAATCATTTCGTACAGAAATTCATGGTGTTGAAGAAGGTGCACAAGTGAATAATCCATTATATTCAAAACGAAATGAATTAAATCAACAATTCTATGATGAAATGCATAATTGTAAACTTGATAATAATAAACTTATTCAATCAATTAAATCCGCTATGATTGCTACACAAGGACCAGAACCAGCTGATGTAAGTAAAATTTGTTCATATAACTATTAAATCTTTTTTTTATTTTAGTATATTTTATTTCGTGTAACAAAAACGGTATGTCTTAATTATATAAAAGTTATTCGTACACCAATGGAACAATATTTATCTCATATGTTGGAACGTACGAATAATGTCATATCAAATGTGATAAATAAAGTTTTTCAAGCACGTCCAAATCTATTGAATCAGATTCGTTTAATGCATGAAAATATTGAGAAACAATTAAAAGATGAATGTTATCGTGAATTAGAATTAATACTTGAAATGGAAGCATCATTTGTATATGCTGATCATCCATTATATAAAGACACGTTAAAACGAATTAAAAAAATTCATAAACAAACTTCTAATGATGCATCGACAGTAATAACAACGGTGCAATCAGCTCGATTACCTTATACAACAACAACAAATGCTGCAACAAATTCAATGACAACATCTGTAAAACGAAAAAGTGGTGCAATAAGTGAAGATAATGATGATGATTTAGAGGATGAATATAAATCACCGATTAAAATATCTCGGCCAAATAATCCTTCTTCAACAAATCGTTTATCATCATGTAAATATATTCAAGAATTTTTTTCTCAAAATTTTTCTTTATCTCTCTATAGTATGGAGTAATTATTGGTCTACTTCTCAACAGAATACTATTCCCGAATCTCTCACTACTAAAACTAACGGTCAGTTTCTAACAAAAAATCCGAGATTTTCGATTAGTTCAGTCCCTAGCAAAACTTTATTTGAAGCATTTATATATATTGATATATTTTTCTACTTTAGATAATCGTTTAGCATCAGATTATGTTTCATCAACAAGATCTCCAACAACTAATGTTATAAATGAGAATTTAAATGATGAAGAAATTGTTGAATATAAAATTCGTATATTAACAATGCAAGATATAATATGTCAACGAATTGTTTTAACATTTCCTCAACGTATTGAATATCAACTTGTACGAAAACAATTTTCTCAACTTGATTTACAATCATCCATATTGAGTAGTACGAGTTTAGAGAAACTTGATCATTTAATGGCGCATGATCCTGATATAGAACGTCGACAAAATGATTTGATTAATAAACGAAAAGTATATGATGAAACAATTAAAGATTTACAAAATCTTGATCAACATTAATCAAGTGCCATTGTGTTTTATTTCAAAATATTTCTTGTGATAGTTATGCTTTTTTTTTTGTTAATCATGACTATTTTAATTTTTCATAAAATCAAGATGATTCAATAATTAAGATTTACATTTATATGCTCGAATCAATAGACTCAATATGAATACCAATTATGAAATCGATTGATAATAGATAAAAAAGTGACGTACCGATGAATAATAATCGAATAGTAGACATGAAGAAATTCAATACTACAACGAATCTATCGATCTCTGTCAATATGTTTCTAAATATCTTGGAAAAAGGCGGTAATGAATCGTCAAAAAACGTCTTATTCATCGTTTTCTAAATCATCGTGACTTAGTGAGCAATATAATTTCTTACTAATTCATAAGTAGCTAATTTAGTAATGAATTCTTCTTTAGTAGCAACAAATGATTGTTATTGATATTTTTACATTGTAACTATTAAAACTAATAGACAATTTTACAAGTATTTAATCACTTTAATATTTCTATAATAAATATATGAGCTATAATTTTCTGATGAACAGTTTATAGTAACAATGATGAGAAAATATATAGCATCTCATTTTTTTTTCTTAGGATATAAGATTAAGAAATCATTAGAACATCCATATCATCTACTGAAAGAAATAATAAGTTTTTATCAAGGGTGTGGTGTGGATGAGAATATCGGCCTAAGTAAAAATATGTTCCTTATGAAGATCTGCAGCCACACTCACGCCCACCCACCTTCACCCTTATTCTACACAGGTGAGCAAAGAGAGAAGAGTGTTGGTTATCATCTCTTGCATGAAACTGCTTACAAGATAACAGCAAACGATGAATAATGTTTATCTACAATTGAAGGAACGAAAAAAAAAATACTATCACTAGGAGCGGGAGTAAACGATGTAGTCTACAATCGCCGAAAATCTCTTTCGTCGGACACGAATTTCATCGAAAATGAAATTCACCAAGTCAATTGTCGCCAAACGGGTGTGTGTGTGAGCGTGAGCTAAGAGAGGAAATACACACATCTACATCCAAACCCACATTTACCCTCACCCAGCCCCACACACCCTCTCCACGAGAATACAAGCCATAAACCATATATTTCAGCGAAAACTCGATATAAAGCGTATACGAGATAGTAATGAAAACATATAAGGAACAAAAATAGTAGAAATATTATAATATTTTTATTATTTGCAATCTGATGCTACTAAGTCTTCCCAGAATATCTTATGTAGAAAAGACTGTGTTGGATGGGTGTGAGTATGCCGCCCTTAGTGCACGCCAACACGGACGCCACGCCTACACTCACATCTACCCAACATCCACCCACACTAGCACCTACTCCCTTCGTCTACACTCACACCCACGCCTATCTGAAGGCTAATAACGATTGGAAGTCTTGGGTTAGTGTGGAAGAGAGTAAGTTTTTATCTACCTGTGCATCGTTTTCGTGCATTTATCAGCAAGACCAAGTTTCTTGGAATAAAAACGATAATATATTCAAAAAGAACTCAAACTGTTTGCGTTCTCATATCGCACTAACTTTTCACCGAAATACAAGAGAGTGGGTGGATGTCTATTTTATTAGCTCAAACATAACAACGACAAATATAGACAAGATGCTTATTCCTCATAATCCATCAGCAAACTTGATAATCGATCCTTGATCACATCGGTATGCCAAATCATTCATCAGAGTTAAAAATGATTATTTCATATGATTCATTACACAGAAGCAGCAAAAACTAATCAATGAACATCGTATCTGTTACTCGACATCAGTTTGACGCCGTCAGGATAGTTCACGATCTCTAGTTCCAAATATAAATTATATTAACATTCACTAACAAAGTGCAACTTCCCCAGAGCTATTCCCATTTATCTGACCAGATCTCAACGATTCAGTCGACTCCCCATATCCTACATACTTATATCCACTTAGCTCACTTCAGTGAACATTTCGCAAAAACAAAATCAAGAAATCAACTAAGCGGAATGAAATCCGGATCATCGCACGCTCGACACATCACACCTACACCCACACCCTGAGAGTTAGGTATTCAGAAATTATTTATTTCAAATAGGTCATCATCTGTTTTTACCATAATTCAATTAAAATTTCATTTCGTTTATAGTATTTCACAACAACAACCACCAGTATGTGACGAGGGAGGGTCTATCATTCGAACAGAGTGCTTCTTCGCCAAATTTATATAAGGATAATTATAGTTGCGTTCTATCCATTTAAATCTGTATACCATTACATGCTTCACTCTTACATTTTTACCAGCTATAATGACAGATGGTTTAACTGCTACTCCCATTGCAGTTTTTGTTTGTGTAATTTCATAAAATGAGTTTGCAAATCCTGGTTTACATAGTTTACTATTGCATATAAGTATTTTTGCACGCTCGAATTTGCCAGGACCGAAAAAGCTATGGCATAAGCCTAGCATAACACTTATATCATCGTCTGTCATAGTACGATAGGAACGATAATCACAATAACGTTCAATATTCGGGCATGAACCTTGATAGTCTACTAACTCGCAGATACATGAAAAATAGTACATCAGTCGAGCAACATCATTTTTTGGAACATCACATGGTTGACCGGATAATCGAAGTTCTATACCGTCACGTTCAACTATATGTGCCATCATTTCAATACGGTTATCTTCCGATGGAAAATTAAAATAATTTATCAGTCAAATTAGGCGTAAAAGATTCTGTGATTATTTCTCAATCAGTAAAAATAAAGACTGGTTGTTAATGTAAGAGAGCTATTAAATGGCTGTTTCGAGAGATAAAAAAATGTTTTTGCGTTATCAAAAAAACTTCGCCGACGGATGACAAACGACGACCTACGCATTATCATTAGGCACACTTGCATTCTAAAACAAAACAAAAGAACAGACGCATCTTGAGGGTGTGGGTATAAGCTAAGAGAAGAGACACACACATACAAACCCACACCCTCAACGTGAACACAAGCCAGAAACTATACGTTTCAGCGAAAACTTAAGATTGAAAGCATATATGAAATAGTAATGAAAACAGATAAGTAGCAAAAATAGCAGAGATATGGTGGTTTCTTTATTTTTTGCAGTCTGATTCTACTAAGTCTTTCCAGAATATCTTAGTAAAAAAGACTTTGTTGAATGGGTGTGAGTGTCTCGCCCTTTGTGCACATCGACGCTGACGCCACACCTATACTTTTACCTACATCTACACTCATCCACTCGTACTCCCACTCACATCCACAACCCACACCCTCAAGAGGCTCGTATTAATGATATTCTGTGGAACTGTTTGTTGCCGAGGGTTCAGTATTTGTTACGACTCGAGAAGGCGAAAACCTGCAAGCAGCTAGCAGAAACTTTATTGTGTACTAAACAGTCGTCCATCCTCGTCCATTTAATGATACAAATGAATGAAAGGAGGAATACAGACGCTAATAGTTTGTTAATCAAAACCTGTCTTGTTCTTTAGGATCAGCTCGTGATGTTGATGCTTCAATATCATTCGATGATTTGTTTTCATCCGTACTTCTGCGATAGTACCACCAAAGAATCGGTATCGTAGTGAGTGTCGTCACATATGTGATAATCACCATTACGCATGCTTCGTTTCTTGGTGATGTCTCGCAAACCGAAGTGTTCCAATTTCTGAATAGTTTTACTTGTATGGTAATAAAAAGGCCAAAACAAACAATAATTGCCATAAATGTAACAGCTAGAATTTGAACGAAGCAAAATCGTTTTAAATGCAGGACAAGCACTTATAACTTACGTATTGTAGATTTTTCATAGTCAGTTCTTCCCCTTTCTGCTGTTTCAAGTATTATTCTAAAAAGATGAACGAATTTGCAATAGTAAAATACAGTATACAAGCATGATTTCCGCAAAAACAAATTTACCCGCTAGTTGGATGCCGACGTGTTACCTCTGTCCAAGAATAAGAGGTTGTGCGAATTTCTTTGGTTCCAAAGATGTATTTTCGGTTGTACCAACACAAAAGGATTAATAATGTTTGCATCCCTGCAAAGGCGTGTATAATAGCTCCTAAGTTTGTGTCTCTTGGATCGCATATTAGAATAAATGCATAACAAATAGCTACAATTAAGTGCAGCAATGGTATAAGTCCGAATATGTTGAAATTGCCGAAACAGCCCATTACCGATTTTGTTTAACACACAAACTGAAATATTTTCGAGAAGTTTTTCTGCTATTAATCTAAAAGAAAAACAAACTAAATAAAGAAAACTGCATCTTTGTTTTTTATTTTGATAAAAATTTGCTTAATTCAATGACGCTTGTCTTCTACATATATGTATATATCCAAGTTCAGAAAGAAAAATTACGATCAAAATGACGTCATAATAAGAGAAAGAAATGGAAAGAAGAACTAGGTGAAGCCAATGGCCTATGACAAGTAGGTTTAATTGATTTTGATCTTACCGTTGATATTTCACGCAAAATTTCAATATTCCTTGTTTTCTAAACCTAAAATCGATCATTCTTCTAGGGATTGCGCTAATAAATAACTGGTTATGAGTATCCTATTATATGGAAGAAGAAAGATGAAAAATCATGCATGACGTGGATAGGATATAATGAATCCATTACAAAGCGTCCTTAGATTACGATCACTTGCTCTTCAAGTATAACTCGATCAGGTGTATCTCATAGTATGCTTAGATTTTCCATAACTCAAGCTATAATTTCCAAGATCATTGATGCTGCTATGAAAAATCTGAAAACCATAGTTTAAGCTATAGAAAATCTTGGAGTACTACTGGAGAGAACTCATCGAGGTATACTTAGAGCGCAGTTTTTGACGAAGATCAAAGGATTTTTCCTAGGTTTTGTATGGGTGTTTTTTTAATAGTAATCAGGGATTTTGTATGGAATAAAAGGGCCATTATAGGAGAATGAGTATTGTATCTGATAAAGTTTGTAGAATTCTAGCTGAAAAGCGCTTTATGGTGGATCTATTCAGGAAAAACTCAAAACCTGACTAGATACATCCTACATGCGTGATTTCTTGAGAAGCCTTGTTTGTTCGGAATGAATACTAAGCTAAAATGTTAGATTTTCTACTTACTTCATGTATAAAACCGTTAAAGCCGTGTATTTTGCTGAAAACGATGATGAGTTTTCATTGGAAAAGGATTTTTAATTAAAAGATCACATTTAGATTATTTTACAACCCAAAATTTAATTAACTCATGGGTGAAGATGTAGCCCACCGATGGACCACACTATACTGTAACGCAAATTTCTAATTACGACTGATTTCAAACATTTATAAATAACGGAGGGAAAAATAACAATTAAAATACGTCTACTATTTAGTTGCTTTCTTGTAATAGAGTATGTGTTGGTCTGTTTCTGCGAACAAAACTCAAGAAGTTTTATCTTTGTTCGTCAGACAACAACAATTTCTTCTTTTTGTTATCATAAATATTAACTAGGTTTGCTTCATTCTTCGAAAAGAAGAACACTAAAGATAACTGCGAAACCCGACCATGAGGAATATTTTTTATAGATCTCTGTCTGAAAAGAAGTTGGAAAGTAATAGCGCAGAGTTCACAAAATTTATTAATTAAAGTTATAGGAAAATAATCTTTTTAGTGAGTATCAAAGCATACATGAGTGTTTGTGGAGAAAGTATAGCATATTTATTTTCATTCTACTGCAAAATTGAGGGTGTGGGTGTGGGTGTGGGGTGTAGGTGTCAGGAAGGGTTGTCGGTGTGGGTAGGGGTGTGGTT